GCCTACAGCTATTTAATTGCCGGAATGAAAAGGTCTCCCGTGAAACCCAACACCCTGACCTCCCCGCCAAGAGAATGGAGACTCCTCACCCCAGCAGGACCTGGCTGGGTCAGGGCTGGGGCTCTGGGCAGGCCGCCTCCTGGCCTCCCTCAGGCAGGTGCACACAAGCATGGGCACCATGGGGGTGCACTCATTCATGCCTCTGCCGCCCCACACACCGTGCAGGCACACCTCTCAGTGGACGTGCACATGCGTGCCTGGCTGCCCTCTAGCTCTGCAGGTGTCTCATGGGCATCATATATGTGCCTTGCCAGCACACTTGCCCATGATCACCCCTCACACCCACATGCCATAGCAGGGCATTTTGCAAACGCCAGTAGCATTAGCAGAATCCTTTTGTAGAATGCAGTCCTAAAAGGACACACCACGTACAGACTAGACGTGGGTGCTGGAGAAGTGCACTGGGCCCAGAGCGTCCGCTGGGCCTCGCCTGCTGGGCCTCTGGGTCATTTCCTTGCCCCTTGTCCCAAGCCTCAGGGAAGATAGCAGGAGTCTAGTTTGGTCACTGCTTCTGAGCTCTGTCACCTGCCGGGTAGGGGGACAGGTGAGCCTGAGCTTGCTCAAGGGGGAGGGGAGTGGGACCTTCACTCTGGCTGAGGGAGATTATGAGCTAGTGGGGGCAGCACCTGCGGACTCCTCCGGCCTCTTTAGTCCTGTCCCGTGCGGCTTCTCCCCCTCCTTCCAGAACGCATTGATTTTTGTTTCTGGGGTTTGTGGCTCTCTTCCTGAGCTTCCTAGCTCGCCAGATGTGGTGATGCCCCACAGCCAGGACGGTCCACTTCAGGGGAGGGGGGGAGGGCTCACAGGTGCCTCCCAAGGACCTGGACACAGCTGTCACCTCCAGTAGGACAGCACCCACCTGAGCATCAGGCCCACAACCCCATCTCTCATGCCGCTAGGTCGGAAGGGTGAGCGGGGAAAGCAGGAAGGAGGAGCATGGCGGAGCAGCCCCAGGAGGAGAGAGCGAGCTTGCCTGAGTCTGCTGCCAGGGGAAGCCTGCTGCTCCCCAGCCTCCCACAGGGAGCTGCAGTCTAACCCGTACCCTCCTGCACCGCACAAGGAACCCCAGGGACTTGTGACTCCAGAACCAGGGCTGTGCCCGCCTCCCGGCCATGCCAGGCACAGGGGAAATGGCCCATCCCCTCCTAACTCGGCAGGAGGCAGGGCACCAGGACCACCGGTTGCCATCTAGGCCCCCTCCTCTCACCCCAGCACCCCTTTGCCCACCCACTCTGCTGCCAGCCCTCAGAAGAGCCGGGAGGCGGGGATGCTGAGCAGGCTCAGTGCCCCGCTCTGCAGGCTGCTGTGCACACCCCCTCCGTGACCAGTCGGCATTGCCAAGCCTGCCCACGGGAGGGCCTCGTGGAGTGAAGCCGCGACAGCTATGCCAAGCATGGGGAGACCCGGCCTCTGCGTGCCCAGGGAAGCCTGCCTGCTTCAGTGGCAGCTGGTGCCAGCAGGACCAGCGGTCAGGGCCTCCCTGCTGGGAGGCCAGGGGCCTGCAGGAGCCTTATCAAGTGGCCTCCCTCAGGTCACCCCTGCAGGAGGCAGAGCCAGCTAGGGCCCTCTCCCATCCAGAAGGCCTGGTTTTCCCCTGGGCCCCCCTGGAGGAAGCAGAGGGCTGGCTTGGCTCCATGGTGGGTGAACAGGGGTTAACTTCAACTGGCGCCCTATATTCCCCCTGGCCTGGATGAAGGGCAGGCGCTGGTTCATTTCAAAGAGACGGAACTCACCAGGGTGGGGAGGGGGTGAACTGGGCGCTGGTTCCTGTGGCAGCGGGGGGCAGGGGAAGCAGGCACACCCAGCAGCCCCAAGCTACCTCCACCTGCAGCCGCTCATGCTCCCCACCGACCTCACCCCAGCAAGATGGCTGCTGCCTCCAGGCCTCTCGGCAGAGGCCTGGGCGACAGGCCATGTGGGCATCCAGGGCATTGCTGCCTCTCTCCAGTGTCTGCAGGAAAAAGAGCACCCAGCTCCTGGACGGGAGAGTGGAACGGAGGCCCCCTGGAGATCCGGTCTTCACCCTAACAACCCTTGGACCTTTGGGAAGTCCCTCTCAGGTCAGACTTCACTCCCTGCAGCTGTAGCCTCTCTCAGCAGCTCATCGCCTCTTGCCCTCAGTGGAGAGGAAAGCCGAGAAGAGCCAGGCGCCTGGCACCAGGCTCTGTAATCCCCAGGACACGCCTGCCTCACCAGGTCTCCTCCAGGGCAAGGCTGGTGCCTTGTTCATCCATCTTGGTTCCCCAGGGCACGCTGACCTCCCTCCCCCTTCACAAGCCGCTTCCTTTCTGAAGGGTAAGCAGAGCGGGTCTGGGGAGCCCCCGGCTCAGCAGAGGCAGGAGGAAGGGGGTGGATGCCCAGCCCAGCCCAGCCCAGCCCACGTTTAGGGAGACTGCATGAGGCCCCTGGCCTGGGGACTAGGGGGTGAACCTCCACCTCCCTGCTTCCCTTGGGAAGCCGGCTGCTGGGTTGGCCCTCAGTGGGTAGCAACTCGGAGCTACCCACTCCCAGCCCAAGTCGGGAGGTCTCACCCTGCGGCAGACTGGGCCCAGCTGTGGCTCCTGCTGCCCTCCCTGCAGGGTGGGTCACCTGTGCCATGGGTGCCTACCTGTGGCCTGGGTGCCAAGGACAGAACTGGGCACAGTCTGTGACCTGGGCTTGCCTTCGTGCTGAAGAATAGCCAAGAGACTCCACCTTTCCCTGCTCCCTGAAGCTGGCTGACCCACCCGGCCCCACCGCGATCTCACCCTGCAGAACCGCCAGTCCTGCCTGCGGCCGGGGGCCCCCACCCCCCACCCCCGCCTCCTCAGCACCAGCCGCCAGGAGAGCGCCTTTCAGCACCTGGACAAGGCCCCTTCGGGGACTCGCGGAGAGAGTGCCTCTCTCCCCGGGCTGGGGGCTGAGGGATCCAGGGGCTCTGCGCTAAAGGGCCGGAGGAAGCGCTCACCACGCAGGGAAAGGGCACTGGGTGGGGCCGGGATGCCCGGGAGTGTCACAGCCTGGCCCCCAATCCTCGACCTGCGGGCCTTTCCCACCTCCGCACGCTCACGCGGGAGGTGTCGCGGCTCGACGGAGTGGGGCGGACCCTCCCACCACAGGGAACACACACACCAAGCGGGCCGCCCCTCCCTGCAGCCCTCACTGCCCTGGCCCAGGAGGGGGCACGGCGACCCCAGCCCGGCTCTGGGAGGGTGGGGAACACGTGCGGGCCGCCCGCGTCCGGGCCGGTGGGAGCGGGTAGGGGCCGCTCCCAGTCAACCAGCACAAAAGCCACGGCTGCAAACAAAGAGGCGCCGCTAACTCGGCCGAGAGGCGGGACAGCCCGCGCCGCGCCCCTGCCCCACGCCGGACGGGCGTGCCGGGCCGCGGGGTCCCCGGCGCCCCGACGGCGCTCTTACCTGGCCGGCGCGGACCTCCTTCTCTAGCTCGCGGTGGCGGTTGTGCCACACGAGGTAGTGCAACGGGTACTTGCCCTCGGGCCCCTTCCTGGCGGAGGCGTTGGCGGGGATCATCGCCCGCTCCTCATGCCGGGGCCGCCGCGCCCGGCCCGGGAGGGGGGACGGCGCCGCAGCCGGGGCCCGGGGCCGCGGGGCGGGCGGCGGGCGCTGCCTGCTCGCAGGGCTGCGGCTCGGGCATGTGCGAGCGGCGGCGGCGGGCGGGGGCGGCGCGCCCGGCGCGGTGCAGGCGGTGCGGGCGGCGCGGGCGGCGGGCGTCCTCGCGAGGCGGCGGCGACGGCGGGCGGCGCTGCGAGGCCCCCACCCGCCCGGGGAGGGAGCGGGCACTCGGCGGCGCGGCGCGGAGTGGCGCCTCGCCTCCCACACCCCCACACACAAAGACTCGGCTCCGCGGAGAGAGCAGGCACCCGCAGCGGGGGCGCACGGGGTGCGGGCCCCGGGGACGCCGCCGCCGCAGGGACGCGCGCCCGCAGCACCCGGCTCCCCGCAGCCGCATAGCCCGGCCCTCAGCCTGAGCGGCCGGCCAGGGACGCGGGGATGCGGGGGAGAGAGTGGGGATCCGAGTGCCCCCGGCAGAGAGGGTTACAGCTAGGCCCCGTGGCATCATGGGACTTGTAGTCCGCCTGGCGGAACTGAGGGTGGCAGGTGTCGGGAGAGGGTCCCGCACTGGGTGGCCCTGATCCCATGAGAAGGGTGAGCCAAGAGGTAGGCCCGGCCAGAACGGAGGCGGAGCCCGGACTCCAGGTGGGCTGGGGCGCACCCCCGCTCGCTGGCTTTCTGCCACAGGCCTCCCTGGAACGTGCCTGGGGGCGGGGGGGTGGTGCGGTGTGGCCTTCATAACTGAGCTTGGTCCCAGGGGCTGTAGAGAGAGATCCGGATTCCCAGTAGCGGGTGCCTGATGGGGACTCCCGAGAAGGCGTGCGGGACATGGAGCAGCCAGGGACCTGGCACCTGGAGTGTTTCCTAGGCGTCTTCCCCTCTTCTTAGAAAATCCAACTCCGTCTTTACGGACGGCACGGAAAAGAGAATGTCCCATTTGGCCGGGAGAACACAGCCTTCCCTCCACACCCTGGCCTCCACAGGAGCCAGAGTGAGGCTGGGCAGAGGAAGCAGCAGGTGGCAGCTGCCCACCTCCGCCCCTGGTCCCAGAGACCTGGGCGCAGAGGTATTTCCAGAACGGCCCCTGCAGAGGGCGTGGTAAGAGTGGAATCTGCCTCGCGAGCCACCAGTTGCGAGGGCAGGAAGGACTGGAAGGAGGGACCGTGATGTCACAGATACCGAAATCCCAATACCTCCTTGCCCACCGCCTGCCCTTAAGCAAACGGCCTGAATTCTCTGTTTCTCGATGCACTCACCTCTAAAGTGAGCCTGTGGGTACCACGTCGTGGGGGTGAGCTGAGGACAGTAATTGCCCTGGAATAGGCGCCTCACCACCCCCCCCACCCCCACCAGGCGGACTGAGGCTCGGCGCTTTCCCGAGCCCACCTTCGAGCAAGGCAAGGGATAAGGGATTCCACCGCAGCCCTTCTCGGAACGACGATCCAAGAAGTGTTTTGTGTGGGAGGTGCCAGCAAAAGCTTGCAAACTCCCTGCGCCTCGCTCAGGTTCCTTTGTGTGGTCTCTCCTGGCTGCTGCACACCCTGCGGTGGTGCCAGGCCCGGGCGGGAAGGGACGAGGGCGGAGCGCGCCGCCTCGCCCCTCGCTCCAGCCGGGGAGGAGCCAGCGGGCGTCGCTGCAGCGCGCGGGCGCTGCCCGCCTCCACCACCAGGGGTCAGCAGAGGGTCGTGGCTGCGGCCGGCGTTGGGGAGGGGGCTCCGGAAAGGAGGGGCGCCTGTCTAGGAGCGACCGCGAGAAATGCCTGCACATTTCCTCATTAAATTGTCCTTAGAACCTTGTGTGTGATTCTCCTTCAGCTAACCTGCTTCGTGGGGGTAGTGACATCTCCACAGGGAAACCCAGAAGCGCTTTTATCTCCCTGAGCCCGGAAGCCTCGCCGTCACAGGGCTGGGGCTTCAGGGACAAAGTTTGTGGACGCCGCGTCCGCGCCAGGGCCACTCCCAGGTTGTCCCCAGGGCATCCTGGGGATGGGGGAGCGGAGCGAATCGCCCTTCCTTCCCGGGGGCGGGCAGCTCCCGGGCTCGGAGGGTCCGTGCCCGGGCAGCCGGCTCTCCCTGCCAGGCGGCCCTGAACACTCCACCCAGGTCGCCTTCCCCTCGGCCCGAGCGTTGCGGCGGCCACGTGCTCGAGACGCGCCCACACAGCGGAGAAACAAAGCCAGCCGAGCGGCAGGGCTGCCAGCAGCCGCCTCGACGTTTAATAAATGAAATTCCATAGCTGGGGGTCGATCGGGGGTGAACGGGCGGTCGCCGCTCGTGGGCTGCGCGCCCGGTACCGGCTGCCAGGCCACTGCTCCCTTCCCCCGTCTGGAGCCTCCAAGCTCACGGGCTCCTGGGTGCGGGCGCAGCGCGGGGGCGGCGGAGGTACCCCCGCCCCCAATACACTTTGCGAGGAATCTAAGCGTGCAGAAGCCCCACCAGCTGAGCGGCTGACTGTTGGGGGGAGGGGAGGCCTGCCAGGGATTTTTTTTTTTTTAAGGTGCGATTATAAATATATCCCGTGGATCGCTATTTCAAACAAAACTTGTCAATCTGGGCTGCGGCGAAAGGCGATGGAGGCAGCTCTGCGTGTATTTCGGGTGGTGTGACTCATGAGCATTACTTGTTTGCCCTAGGGAAGGGGCCTGCCCACCCACAGGGTACTTCTGGGTACAGCGACCGACTCGGGCACCCCTGCGCAAGGACTCCCCCTTCTCCTAACTTGTTACTGAGCAGGAGTTCCTGATGCCTGGGAAACCCTCCCTTTAACTGTCACCGCGGATCTGGCCCCCAGGCCTGGCCCTGGACACCCCTGCTCTCCCCCACAATCCCAGGGCCCTGCTGCTGCTGCAGGGATGGGGGCTGGGTGCACGCCGGGCACACGTGCGTGGGGGAGCATGCTCAGTGCGGGGGTGCGCCCACGTGTGGCCCGCACTTCGGCTCCTGTCCCCTCCCACGGTCCTCGCCTGCTTCTCCGTTTGAAGCCCCAGAAGAAAGATTTTCCCAGCCCCTGAATATGTTTTAAGCATGCGCTCCGGGTACACACGCCTCCGGTAGCCCAGAAACACGGTGGGAGTGCACGGGGCGCGTGACATGGAGGTATCAGCAAACACAGGCTCAGTGGTCACTGCCGCGCGCTCTCCCCTCCAGATGGAAGCTGCACGCGTGCGGGGAGAGATGCATCTTTAGACACAGGCAGGGGTTACACTGCATGGCCCCTCTGGCACCTGGGCATCCATATTGCTGCCGCTGTGCGAATTCAGCAAGGGTGTGACCACCACACAGACGCCTGCCCGTGGGGGTGTGGGTACCTGGGACGCACCCCTCACCCGGCCCAGACACACACGGGTGCCCCAAGGCACAGCCCTTTGGGGACTCCAGCTCCTCTTCCTCTCTTCCCGGATCCCCCCCCTCCCCGCCCCCCGAGCGGGCTTCACCCTCTCTGAGCCGAAAGTCCCACTGGCCACCCAGGGGCCGCAGTGAAGGGGATGGGGCTAAGAGGGAGACTTACACTGCCTCGGGGCTTGGAGGAGCACAGGAGCAGAGGCCCGGGCTGCAGGCCACGCTGCCCGTCCGAGCCCGGCGCCGCCGCGGCCCCTTTAAGCACCCCCGCCCCCTGCCGCCCGCGCTCCCGGCTTCCTTTCTCCGGGAGGCGCGGCCGGCGGCGCGAGGCGGCGGGGCGGGGGTGTGGGCCGCCCCTCCCCCGGTGGGCAGGGCCTGCGCCGCTTCCTGCAGGAGCGGTCGGGAGCCGCGCAGGGGGCGGGGAGAGCGAGCGGCGAGCGGCGGCGGGGCGGCGCGGGGCGGCGCGGGGCGGAGGGCGCCCGAGGGCGAGCGGGCAGGCGGGCACGGCGGGTTCCGGGCCAGCCCCCGGGGCGGACGGTTGGCCAGGCGCGCGGAGCCTCGCCGGGGCCTTGCCGGAGCCGGGCCGGGCAGCAGGGGCCGCCGCTGCCGCTGCCGCCGCCGCCGTCGCCGCCCGGGCCCGCCGCCCGCGCCCCCCACGCTGGCCCAGAGGGCTGCGGCCGCGTCGCCGCTGAGGATGTCCCGGAAGGGGCCGCGAGCGGAGGTGTGTGCGGACTGCAGCGCCCCGGGTAAGCGGGGCCGGGCCGGGCCAGGGGCGGGACCGTGCACCGAGGCCGCCGCCGGGCGGGCGCCGGGGCCTGGCGGGAGCGCCGTGCGGGGCCGGAGGGCGGGGCGGGGCGGGGGGCTGCGGCCTCCGGCCTCGGCCCCTTGACCGGGCCGCTGCGGAGTCGCGTCCTTGGCTGGGGGGCCGGCCGGAGGGGCCCCGGTTCCCTCGAGTCCGGGGGCGAGCGAGGAAGGACGTCGCCGGCGCCGCCTCCCACCCTCAGCTCGCGGCCTCCCCGGCTCCAGCCCGGTGTCCACACGGAAGCGCCGGCCCGGGGTGGCGGGAGTTCTGTGGCGGAGGCCGGCAGGGTTGAGGAGGTGGGAGCAAGTGTGGATTTTGCGTCACCTCAGTGCCGCCCCCGCGTCTTGCACCTGCTGCCTGCTTGGTCGGCACGCCCGCCGGGGTGGCCGGGGCCCAGGGGCACAGACGCCCCTGGGGCTTGGGTACAGTTTTCTCAGGAGCAGGCGAGGGGGTGGCTCCTCCTAGGATTCCCGGCCCCTGCTTCCCAAGGCTGAGACCCCTTTCAGGGCCTGGTTCAGGGCCAGGCCAAGCCGGGGCATCTTCTTCCCCAGGCCTGCTGGTGACTGGGAACAGCTGGGCTCGCCTTTTCCCGTTCCCCAGTGAAGCCTGCTTGGGAGGTGGCCTTGAAGCGGCCCCAGACCCCTGCTGGTCCCCTAGTGCAGTGTGGCCAGAGTAGGGTGGGGGCAGTGGCAAGGGGTGCCTGTCTTGCTGGCAAGGGTGGGCTCCCCGGCAGTTAGTTAGGTCTGCGCAGGTGTGGATGCCCTGGCCTGCTGAGTGAGTTGGGGGCAGCGGGGGACCCAGGAGGCTGCCTCCTCCTTCTGACCCGGGAGGACTCAGCCAACCGAGGGGCTGAGAAGCGTGCATGGAGAAGGAAGCTAAGAGGAGCCCTGGTCCCTGGGAGATGCCGCAGGAGTCTGTGGGCATGGTGGAGTGTGAGGGAGTGGAGGCAGCTTTGGGGGCCTCTTGCTTGAGCTCCCTGGTGGTTCTGTGTCCCGAGCTAGAGTACTCGGGAACGGGGGGCTTCCGGCAGGGGCGCACTCACAGGTGCCGTGTGGGTGGCGGAGGTCCTGAGGGTCCCAGAACATCCGTGTGGGGTGGTGTTCAGACCCCCAGTTCTCCAGGAACTACCACTGCCTTCCCCGCCCGCAGCCAGGCCTGGGGATGGAGGGGCTAAGGGGAGACCTTGCCTTCGCCTGTCCTGGCTCTCCTGCACCTCGGGGTGGGGGAGAGGAGGAGTGGGTGAGGCTGAGGAGACACCTGCTAGGGCGGTCTGGGCTGTAGGCTGCCTCTGTTTCCAGCTCACTCTGTGGCTCAGGGTGAGATTTTGCTCGCCCTGGGCCTCGGCTCCCTTGACTGAGGCTCAGCAGTTGGAGTAGAAATGATTTCGGAAGGCCCTCCTATCTCCAAAGCCCTGCTCCTGATTCTAGGGCAGGGGGACACAGGGTAGCGTCGTCCACCTGTGCTTTCCACGTTGCATTTGAACGTCTGGCGGAACCCACTGGCTGCCCAGAGGTTCGTGTATCGGACGTGGTGGCTGCCCAGCGCCCGTCGCTCCTGGGTCCTTCTCCGATAAAGGCATTCAGGTCCCTGGTGCTGCCTTCCCCGTGCCCCAGAGCACAGGTCAGGCAGAGGCTGTGAGAAGGCAAAGACCAGGAGGTGAGCCTGAGGGTCTGGCAGTTGCCAGCCACGCCCCAAGGACGTGCGTGTTCCTCAGGGCTGCAGACCCCCTACCCCATGACGCTGGCCGTGGTGTGTGGCGGCATGGGTGTTCTGGGGCCTGTGAATACGCAGCAGCCTGGGGTCCAGACCCAGTGCCACCCTCCTCAGTGAAGCCCCCAGCCAGGGGGGCTTCTCTCGCTGTCAGGGGAGCCCTGGGGTCACGCCCTTTTTATAGTTGGTCCACTGGGGAGGTACAGCTGGTCCCCAGAGGGTCCCGGGCCTGGGCCTGTGGAGAGTAGGTTTGAGCATGTTTTGAGGCAACTGGACGTGGCATGGCCGCGGGTGCCACCTGGTCAGCCGCAGTCTGCATCCCTATTCACACCACAGTCCCAGAGAGGTGCAGGGGTCAGGAGCCCTGGAGAACGCGGTCCCCTGTCCTTTACCTCTAGTCACGTGGCCTCAGTGCTGAGCTCCCAGGCCCAGCCCAGGTCCCCACAGCAGCCTCTCTGCTCTGGCAGCCCAAGCCGCAGGAATGAAGGCCTCAGGATGCCCGTCCTATGGACAACCTGCAGGCTCACTGACCTCTGCGTAACGCAGCTCCTGGGGCGGGGCGAGTGGTGGGCTTGCTTCCTCTTGCTGCAGCGTGTTGGGCCTTGTGGACACGGATGTGTGTGTGCAGCCGTGAGGCCACACCCTGAGCTCCTTAATGCCCCGCCAGGGCTAACTGCCCTCTGTCCCCTTGGGTTGCCCTCGCCTGCCTCAGCGCAGCTGGCTTCTCCCTCTTGTGTGAGCTTTAGTGCTGGAGAGAGGTGTTTATAAGCAGATGTGCTGGCCCTTGCGGCCACTAATGCTTCTGTGGTGGCAGGAAGTGACATGGTAGAGGCCTCCATGGGGTCGGACCATCCGAGACCCCCTGCCACCTACCTCGCATAGCAGACCACACCCCAGCTGTGGAGCTGGAGCCAGGTGAGGGGTGGCGGGTTCTGAGCAGCCTACCCCAGCCCCTAGCTCTTTGGGCTGAACAGCCTCTTGGTGGCAAGGGTGCTTTGTCCCTAAGCTACAGTAGCTAGTTGGCTTCAGAAACCCTTCCTGCTTCTTCTCTTAGGAACTGGCTTAGGTGGAACTTGGGGGCTCATGCTTGGGTAGACCCGAGGCTGTTTGGGTGTAGGTGGTAGGTAAGACAGTTAGGGTGCGCCTCTGTCGGTATCATCCAGAAGTGAGCTGGCACCAGTGTGGCCCAGACCACGGCAGGTCTCCATTTCAGGTCACCATGGAGGAGAAGGAGGGCCTTTCCCACAGGCGGGGGTGAGGGGACCAAGCAAAGCCTGAGGCCACATTCCCCAGATCCTGGGCCCTTGGTCAATGCCGCATCCAGGGGCTCACTATGTTTGGTGTGCCCACAACCTGGGGCTCTTGGACCGCTGGTCCTGGCTATAACGCTAGCTTTTCCTGGCCTGGCTTCTCTGATAGGGCCACGGGCCTGGGGTGGAGGCCTCAGGGCGGCCCATGTATGATCCTGGCCTGGGCGGCTCCCCACTTACAGGAAACCCCACCATTTCAGCAGGAAGAATTTAGGCTGCATCATTTCCGGCTTCCTGCCTGCGCTGCCGGAGGTGGCTGGCGGGCAGACCCCTGACCCAGTGGTGTTTGGTAGTGGGGGTCGGCCGCCCTCCATGCCTTAGTGGTACAGTGCGCCCAGGGCTCCCCCTCTTGCCACGGACAGCTGGTCTGGGCCTCGTGGCCCAAGGAAGGTATATGGCGACACATTGTGGATTCTTTGGATCCTTCTCCTGCCCTGTTTTGGGGAGTCCCTGACGAAACTTGCACCTAGCGACCGAGCCCTCTCATTTACTTCCTGTACGCTGTGGCCAGAGCCGAGGCTGGGCTCCTGACTCAGAGCCTCCACACAGCTCTCCTGGGAACTTGGATGGGAGTCCTGGACGGCCGCGGCCCGGGAGTCATCTTCTGGTTAGGAGAGGTCCTCATCACCCCAAGCTGTCCCCGTCCCAGGGGCCACCCACTCTGGACATCCTGAAGGCCGTGGGGAAAGGCAGAGAGCCAGTACCCCACCCCCTGCCCGCCCCCAGGCCAGGGCTTCCTGAGCCCTGGGCAGAGCACAGTGTCCAGGGAGAGCTCCCCGCCCCCACTTGCAAGCCTACACAATGGCCGCTTTCTCCCCCGTGACCTTTCTGCAGCCTGAGTTGTATGCAGCTGTCTCCTCCCCTTCGCCCAGGGGGCCTGGGATGGGTGGTATCCCCGCTACCCTCGAGGAGGACCCTGGGTACTTCCAGCCAGGCCTGGCTCCCTTGTTGCCAAAGTTCTCTTCCCCCGCTTCTCCCGGGGCTCTGGCCGAGCTGCAGGGGCAGAGGAGGGACGGCACAAGTGTAGACATGGCGTGGGTCTGCCGTCAGAGTGCCTGGGCCCACGTCCTAGCACTTCTGATCCTCAGCTGTGTGACCTTGCGCAAGCCCTCTAACCTCCCTGAGCCACTGTCTCCTCATCGGTGAGGTGAGGCAGGGACAGCATTTCCTACCTCGCCGCACAGTTCTCAGAGGCATCACGCATAAAACAGCCAGTGGTGCACGGTGTTCACTTCATCGCGGTTAGCGCCTCGGCTCTGCCCACCCTTCTCCAGACGGGCTGCGGCCCCCACCATCAGTGATGTGGCAGGAGGCTGCGGCGTGAAAGACCCTCGCACCTGCCAGCGCCAGGAGCCCATGGGCGGTCTGGCTGTTAGGCCCTAGGTGCAGGAGACCTGGGGCTGACCTGTGAGAGGAGGGTATCCAGGGATGTCTGGCACATGGCATCAAGGTCTCGTCCCCTAGGGGATTCCTGCCTCCCTGCGGGAAGGGGTAGGGCAGCAGCTTTGCTCCCTGGGGAAAGGCTGGGAGACTGAGGCTGTGGCCACAGGACAGGGAGCTGTGCCCACTGAATGGGCCCTGGAGACCACATGGCGCCAAAGGAGCAAGGATGTGTAGCACAGGTCGTGGCCCTGCCATTCCCACCTGTGAGCCCTGGGAGAAAGCCTTCGTTGGTAACCCGGGCCTAACCGCGAGTATGAGCAGGTGAGCACGCGTGAAGTACTGAGCGTGGTGTGGACCCAGAGTGGGCGCTGAGAAGGTCTCGCCTGCCCTCTGGCTCTGGCTGACCGTTGCCTCCACGCCGGCAGACCCTGGCTGGGCATCCATCAGCAGGGGTGTGCTGGTGTGTGACGAGTGCTGCAGTGTGCACCGGAGCCTGGGACGCCACATCTCCATTGTCAAGCACCTTCGCCACAGCGCCTGGCCTCCCACACTGCTGCAGGTACAGGGGTGGGCCATGTGGTTTTTCCTTCCCTGCAGACCCAGGCCTGGGCTCAGGTCCTCCCCACCGCAGCCCCACCCTCGGTGGAATCTGCAGCTTCCATGGGGCAGCGTCCCCTAGGCAGAGCTGACCCTGACCCTGACCCTGACCCTCACCCTCCTCACCCCTGCTGCGCTCACAAACACAGCCAGTTCTTGCCCCGACTCTGCAGCTTCCTAGCAGCCAGGTGGCGCCATGCAAGGCACTTGGCATGCTCCATGGGATCCAGGCCTCTGGGTGGCCTGGCTGGCTGCAGGTGTGGGGTGGCAGACCCACAGGAGGTCCCTTCCGTGCACTAGGGATGGGTCCCCAATGCCCAGCACGCAGTGGGCGCACGCTCACTTGGCAGCCTTTCCCCGCAGATGGTGCACACGCTCGCCAGCAACGGGGCCAACTCCATCTGGGAGCACTCCCTGCTGGACCCCGCACAAGTGCAGAGCGGCCGGCGCAAAGCCAACCCGCAAGACAAAGTCCAGTGAGTGGGGCTGCAGGGGCGGCGGGGAGGGCGTGCGTGGCCTGGGCTGTGGCCGGGGACACACGTTTCCTCCTGTGTGTGCCGTGCAGCCCCATCAAGTCCGAGTTCATCAGGGCCAAGTACCAGATGCTGGCGTTTGTGCACAAGCTTCCCTGCCGGGACGATGATGGGGTCACCGCCAAAGACCTCAGCAAGGTGCGGGGGGCCCTGCGAGGGAGGGGCGGGCCTCTGCTTCCCACCCCCACACACCGCGAGGGCCTCTCCTTCATGACCAGTGAGCCCGAGGCCCCTAGGGCTGCCTGGCCAGGGGAAAACAGTGGCCACAGCAGGGGACAAGATTGCTCCATCAGGCTGTGTGTGACCAAGGCGCCTCAGCTCCCGAGTGTGCACATGAGGCTAACGTCCCCCAGCTGCCACTCAGAAGCTAAGGGCAGGTGCGAAGGCTCTCAGAGCCTCAGTGGTCTCATCTGTAAAATGGGAAAGAAATAATAGCAACTACCTCATAGGTGATATGGCTTCCTGGCAGAGCATACAAGCACACAGCGGCTGGTGACTGTGGCAGTTGTTACGATTTTTTGAATCTTATTTTTATTTATTTGAAAGGCTGACAGAGATCGCCCAGCTGCTTGTTCACTCCCCAAATGCCTACAACAGCCAGGGGTGGGCCAGGTCTAAGCAAGAAACCCAGAGCTCAGTCCAGGTCTCCCATGTGGGTGACCGGGACCCAGGCACCTCGAGCCATTCCCTTCAGCCTCTCGGTACATTAGCAGGAAGCTGGTTCCTAAGTGGAGGAGCTGTGACTTGGAGCAGGCCCTCTGGATGGGGATGTGAGCATCCCAGGCCGCATCCTGGCTGCTGCACCGGGTGCCAGCCCTGAAGGCAGTTTTTATTCGTTGGCATTCACTCCTGGTGGGGAGCCTTCTGTCTTCCCTGACACGGCCAGATTTTGGCTGAGGCCCTTGGAGCTGGTGGGCTTGCGGGGAGCAGCGGGGCAAGGGGCAGCTTGGGGCAGGACTCGTGCACACGCGTGCACAGTTACTGCACACTCCACTGCTTGCAGCAACTGCACTCAAGCGTGCGGACCGGCAACCTGGAGACATGTCTGCGCCTGCTGTCCTTGGGCGCCCAGGCCAACTTCTTCCACCCAGAGAAGGGCACCACACCCCTGCACGTGGCTGCCAAGGCAGGGCAGACGCTGCAGGCAGAGCTGCTGGTCGTGTACGGGGCTGACCCTGGCTCCCCCGACGTTAATGGCCGCACACCCATCGACTATGCCAGGTGAGGGTCGGCCAGGGGGTGAGGCCTGGCCGGTGGGGGCAGTGGGCTGCTGCTGCAGGGCTGAGCCGTACCCCTCCCCACAGGCAGGCCGGGCACCATGAACTGGCGGAAAGGCTAGTCGAGTGCCAGTATGAGCTCACTGACCGGCTGGCCTTCTACCTCTGTGGACGTAAGCCGGGTGAGCAGAGCACGGGCAGGTCTGGCTGGGCCTGGCAGGTGGGACCCAGACACACCCCAGCAGCAGGTGCCATGGTGACAAAGCCGGCTGGGGAACAGTGTTGCTAGGCAACTGGCTCCTGTGAAATTGCTGCAGGCTCTGGGCTGCAGCAGGTTGGGGCCAGAGAGTGGGGGTGGGCCTAACTTCCAGCCAGCTCCCAGCGCTCTTGGGGTGGCCTGCCCTCCCCCTTCCCCCCTGACACTTCTGGGTGCCAAGCCCTGCTTGTGGCAGTGGGGTGGGCTCCCAGCTGCTGAGGCCACCCAGCACCAGTGACTTGGCATTTTTATTTTTGTTCAGATCACAAGAATGGGCATTACATCATCCCACAGATGGCTGACAGGTGAGTGCCCACCTGACGCCCCTTCCCAAAGGCTGTTGGATGCCATGCGGACGTTTGACCCCCAGAGGCCCCACCCCATCCTCTCCCCTGGTTTCAGGGGCCTGGGACCCCACCCCACCCCCATCCTGTCGGGGGGCTGGAGGCACAGGTATTTCAGAGCCTAGTCTTCACTCCTAATGCTGGGCCCAACGGCAGGTAAGGATTGCCAGCTCAGTACACGACCAGCACCACCTGAGCCGCTTGACTGCCCAGGGCACAAGGAGGGCCTCTCTGCTGGGAGGGTGGCTGCTGGGCTCTGACCCCACCTTACACAAACCTCTGTTCCGTAGTGAAAGATGGTAGGCTCCAGGGATTGACCCGCTCTGCGGCTACTGCCCAGGCTCTGGGCGCACACTCAGAAATCAGGCAAGGGCCATGCATGGCACAGGGTTTGAGTGAGGTGTTCCCGCCTCTGATCTGAGAGGCTGGGAGAGCCCCAGGTGGTAAGGACACCCCAGGCACTCATCCAGCTCAGGAGATGCGTGCTAGTGCCACCTGGTGGCCATCTCTGGCCGCGGCGGTGTTCCACTGCCAGGCTGTAACTGGAGAGGAGCTTGCTCCCTCCCCTAGGAGCTGGTGTGAACAGATGCAGAGGGTCAGGCCTGGGCAGCAGGGATCCCTCAACCCAGACGTCCTGTTCTGAGACTCTCCCCATTGCTCTGGTCTGATTCTGCCTTGTGTGTGCGGCAAAAAGCCCGACTTGTGGGCACGCGCTCAGTGCAACATGGGCCGTGCACCTTCTCAGAGCCAGCAGCTACTCTGGGCACTGCAGTCACAGGCGGATGTCTGACATGTTCCCTGCTCTTGCTCCAGCTAGGGAGGCTGCCCGTCACTGCAGCTCTTGCCGACGGCAGGAGGCACAGGGGTTGGAAATACCACCCGGGATGGGGCGGGAGTCCCAGGAACACAGCCAGGGCAAGAGCCCAGGCCATTCCCAGGGCAGACGGGTTCCAGGCCCGGCGTGTGGGCTCAGCTGTGCCGTCCATGGGCTGTGGGACTGGAGGCAGGCCGCTCAGCCCGTCTTGGCTACCTCATCTGAGGAGGGACTGGCAGAGCTGTTGAGAGGATTAAGTGAGATGATGCGTGCAAGGCATCCAGCCCGTACTTAGAAGTTCGCTTTCGGTGGAGGCAGGGCTGAGGCGTGCCCTGTGCACTGTTGGAATGTTGGGTCCCTACAGTGAGGGTGGTGCCACTGGGTGGGAAAGGCGCCCAGGCGAGAGGGAACGGCGCAGCACCTGGGGCGGGAGATGCCGAGGTGCTCCCGAGGTAGCCGAGAGCCCGTGAAGGGGCCCCAGACAGAGCAGGCAGGGTCGGGGTGCGTGCCGAGAGTGCCAGCTCCTCCCGAGGCGGCGCGAGCGGCCCTGCTGCTGGGTAACAGCTGCTGTCCTGTTCTTCCCTCTGCTGCCTTCCTCTGGACTTAGGTCTCGGCAAAAGTGCATGTCTCAGAGGTATAGAGGCTGTGGCGGGCGGGCGCGGGCGTCGCGGTCCTGTCTGCCTGGGAGCCCTGCATGCCTGGGAGGTCACCACAGGGGCCTGGCCACCTCTCACGGCCCTTCTTTCCCTTGCGTCTCCCCTCCTCGTCCCCAGCCTGGACCTGTCTGAGTTGGCAAAAGCTGCAAAGAAGAAGCTGCAGGCGGTGAGCACCCTGATGCTCGGAGCCCCCCACTAGCCCCCCCCGCCCCTGCACCCTTCCTGTCTTGGACCTCGGCTCTGCCTTCCATGTGCTAGGGCTCCCAGGGCCTTAGCCCCACCTCTGACCTACGAGGAATCAAGTAGTCCTGCTCCCTCTGTCCTCGCCCTCCCTGGAGCTTGGACCCAAGCCCCTGCCTTGTTTTCCAGGTCTCAGAACACGGGGCTGGGTGGCAGCAAGGACACGAGCCTTTCCCCTGCCTCACGCCATCCTAGCCAGCTGGCCTGGCCAGCACTGGGGCCAGTGATCTGACAGAATCTCATCCCTCTCTGCCTCCAGCTCAGCAACCGGCTTTTTGAAGAGCTTGCCATGGACGTGTATGACGAGGTAGACCGGAGAGAGAATGACGCGGGTAAGTTCGGGGATGGCGGTCGGCCCGAGTGCCTCCCCTGCTGGGCCCTCAGTGGAACCCAGAAGAGGTGCCTGGCCGCGTCCCCGCTCCTCCCTCCCCTCTGCCCCCCACGTCACTGCCTCCTGGCCACAGCCAGATTCCAGCCTGAACTGGGGCTGCTGGATGGAGGGCGGGGTGGGCGTTCTGTGCCTAGTCCCCCGCCAGCCTCATCCTGCATAAGCCTACCGCTCTGTTGAGCAGGCTCGGTGGGCATGGGGAGGCCTGGCCACCATGCTGATGGCCTCTCTGTCCCTCCCCCACAGTGTGGCTGGCCACCCAGAACCACAGCACACTGGTGACGGAGCGCAGCGCCGTGCCCTTCCTGCCGGTTAACCCGGAGTACTCGGCTACCCGGAATCAGGTCAGAGGGTGGTCTCTCCGTCCCCAGGAGCCCTGCCCTTCCTCAGCGCTCTGGGACTGGGCTCCTGCCCACCCTCGCCCCTCGCTGAGCTGGGGTTGGGGAACCAGGAAGACGTTGTTACTTTGAGTACTTGGCCTCTTCCCAGCGGGGCCCTGACGGACCAGCCCTGATTCAGGCGGGTGGCAGGGCAGTGCCTGGCGGCCCTGTCGCTGCCAGTTAGGGGTCAGCGTGGTCTACCCTGCCTTGCAGGGGCGACAGAAGTTGGCCCGCTTCAACGCCCGCGAGTTTGCCACCTTGATCATCGACATTCTCAGCGAGGCCAAGCGGAGGCAGCAGGGAAAGAGCCTGAGCAGCCCGACAGGTGCGGCGGGCGCAGCTCCCCCTGCCTGGGGAGACAGCCCAGGGGAGGCGCCCCGAGTGACAGGCCCTGTGCCCTCAGACCACCTCGAGCTGTCTGCACGGAGCCAGAGCGACCTGGACGACCAGCACGACTACGACAGCGTAGCCTCTGACGAGGACACGGACCAGGAGCCCCTGCGCAGTGCCGGCGCCACCCGGAACAACCGCGCCCGGGTCTGAGCACTGCCCCCGGCCCCAGCTCTACCTCCTCCCAGCGCAGGGATCGCCGGAGCCCCGGGCTGCGCCCGAGGGCTGACGGCCGGCGTGTCTCCCCACAGAGCATGGACTCCTCGGACCTGTCGGACGGGGCGGTGACGCTGCAGGAGTACCTGGAGCTGAAGAAGGCCCTGGCCACCTCGGAGGCCAAAGTGCAGCAACTCATGAAGGTCAACAGCAGCCTGAGCGACGAGCTCCGGCGGCTACAGAGGGAGGTCAGCGCTGTCACCATGGCCACGGCCCGGGTTGTAGCGGGAGGGGGCCCGGCTGCGCCCCGCGGCCGACACACCGGTGTCCACCTGCAGATCCACAAGCTGCAGGCAGAGAACCTGCAGCTGCGGCAGCCCCCGGGGCCGGCGCCCACACCCCCGCTCCCCAGTGAGCGGGCGGAACACACCCCCATGGGGCCCGGCGGGAGCACCCACCGCAGGGACCGCCAGGCCTTCTCCATGTACGAGCCGGGCTCTGCCCTGAAGCCCTTCGGCGGCGGCGCGCCTGCGGACGAGCTCAGCACGCGGCTGCAGCCGTTCCACAGCTCCGTGAGTGCCCGCGGGCCTCGGGGCGGGGGCGGGGGCGGGGGCACCGGAGCCGAGCCCTGACGCCGCTGTGCTGACCCCGCAGGAGCTCGAGGACGACACCATGTACTCGGTGCATGTCCCTGCTGGCCTGTACCGGGTAAGCAGAGCCTGGGGCGGTCACACTGGGCACGCTGCGGGGGGTGGGGGAGGCGCTGACTCCAGCCCCGCCCTGCCTTGCAGATCCGGAAGGGGGTGTCTGCCTCAGCCGTGCCCTTCACGCCCTCCTCCCCGCTTCTGTCCAGCTCCCAGGAAGGAAGCCGCCACGCGGTAACGCCCGCCGCCCAGTACCCAAAGGGGGCTGGGGGCGACTGGGGGCGGGGGCGTGTGGGCCCAGGCCAGTCTGGAGCACTCACCCCCTGCCCCTCCACCCCCTTCAGAGCAAGCTCTCGCGCCACGGCAGCGGTGCTGACAGCGACTATGAGAACACACAGAGCGGGGACCCACTGCTGGGGTGAGCGCCCTGGGGTTTGCACCACAGCCCCCCACCCCGCCCCAGGTCAGCCCTGGGGCCAAACGTCCCTCGTGTTTGACCCCGGGACAGGCTGGAAGGGAAGCGGTTTCTGGAGCTAGGCAAAGAGGAGGACTTGCACCCGGAGTTGGAGAGCCTGGACGGGGACCTGGACCCCGGGCTGCCCAGCACGGAGGACGTCATTCTGAAGACAGAGCAGGTCACCAAGAACATCCAGGAGCTGCTGCGGGCGGCCCAGGAGTTCAAGCATGACAGGTATGCCGGCCTGCCGCAGGAGAGGGGGGAGGGGCAGGCAGCCCCCAGCGTCCCTGGAAACCCACCCAGAGAGCCCGCTCGTTTCTGCCCTCCCTCCAGCTTTGTGCCCTGCTCAGAGAAGATCCATCTGGCTGTGACCGAGATGGCCTCTCTCTTCCCAAAGGTACAGGGGTCAGAGTGGGAGCCCGAGGGGTGGGGCAGACGTGGACAACGTGACAGCTCCCTGGGCAGAGGCACAGATGTGCTGGGCTTAAAGTCCAAGGCCCGGCCTCCCGTCTCCCTGCAGAGGCCAGCCCTGGAGCCGGTGCGCAGCTCCCTCCGGCTGCTCAACGCCAGCGCCTACCGGCTGCAGAGTGAGTGCCGGAAGACGGTGCCGCCGGAGCCTGGCGCCCCCGTGGACTTCCAGCTGCTGACTCAGCAGGTGATCCAGTGCGCCTACGACATTGCCAAGGCTGCCAAGCAGCTGGTCACCATCACCACCCGAGAGAAGAAGCAGTGACCACTCTCCCTACACCCTTACCTGCACCCTGGGACCTCACTGGCCACGGGAGCTGGGCCACTCCAGACACTAATCCCCACCCCACAGAGCCACTGGCACAAGTGCCCTTAGTGCTGCCGCCCTCCTCTGGCAGCCAGGCGCCCTGGTGCCCACCCTTTCAAGCCCCCAAGGATGGGGAGGTGGGGTGGCAGGACCTTCTGTCCCCCACATTCCATGTACCTCCCTCCCTGTACATAGCGCCCCTCCCTCCTAGCGTGCAGGGGCCTGCAAGGCGTCATTCCCAGCACCCTCAGCCTCGGGTCAGGGAGACACTCCCAGTGGGGCCGCTCCCCTTGCGTCACCCCACCCCCATGAGCCAGTTCAGCCCTACTGGGGGCTGAGTGGGGGCATCCCCCCCTGTACATACTCTCTGTGGATGTCCCTGCCCCGCAGCCACCAGCCCCCTTGCTGCTCTCCTCTCATGCCAAACGGCCCCTCCCGAGGGCACAGGCCCCAGCCTGCGTGCTGGGGGCCTCAGCAGCAAACACTGGAAAATCTCTCCTCTCCTCTCCCTACTCCTTAACTTTAACTTTGTGGTAACTGAGTGTCCCTGCGTGCCTGCGTGTGAGTGTGCGGGCGGCAGTGCCGTCCCGGAGGCCTGGTCCACCTGGAGCTTGGAGGGACAAGGGGACCAGAGTGGGGGAACCAGCATTGGGGGACAGCCTCCCTCCCCCCAGCCTGGGGCCAGAGACTGCAGGCTCACCAGCTGTGGTCCTGCCCTATGTCCCTCGTCATCGCTACCCCCACTGCACCCCTTCTCCATGAACTTCAAACAAGAAAACCACTTCTCTCCCTCCCTCCTCCTCTCCCTCCCCTGTGGAGGGGAAGGTGTGCTGGCTGGAGCGGAGGACAGAGCACCTGAGCCTGGGGCTGGCTCCCCGGGGTCCCCGACTCAGCTGGTGGCTGCGGAGCTGACGGTCCCCTCCCCTTAACCTCGTGGAGGCCAGCACCACCATCACTACCTGCACCTGCTGTGGTCCCACCCTCCAGGGGCCTGGGCACCCCCCACCCCCAGCTGCAGGCCAGGCACGCTGGAGAGGCCTACGCCAGCACCCACCACCAGCTCTCGTCCCTGTCCTGCCTCTTCCCTGGGGGGCCAGGCCCTGCCTGCGTGGTGGTGGGCTGACTGTCAAGACGTGTGTCATGTACATTTGTATCAAAAATAAATAAGTGGCCATGTGCTGCTTCCAGTGCTGGGCGGCGCGGGGGCCGGGCACGCGGGCAGGGAGAGGCACCAGCCTGGCGAACGAAGGGCACCGGTGCCAGCAGCCGGGGGGAGGTCCGCAGAGGGGAGAGCAGCCGGTGTGCCCTCCCCGCTAAGGCAAGCAACACGGGCGTCCGGGTGGGAGTCTGTGGGGCAGAGGCACAAGCTCAACTCCAGATTCTACTAAAATAATTTAATTAGAAATATGGGGAATTTCGGAACGGGAGGCACAAAGCGTCATTTCTCCCAGGGGCCACCCCTCCCAAGGAAGTCAGGCCTCGGCAATGCTGCGTCTGCCACCAGGGGGCGCTGCGGCGCGGGTCCACGTGGCAGAGGTCGCGGCCTCCCAGCGGGAGGAGCCCGCGGCGCCACAGCGGCAGGGCCGGGCCAGGTCAGTCAGAGCTGTCCCCATCCGGGCCACTGTCCGGTGTGGGCGGAAGGAGGGGTCTCCGTCGGGAACGCTTGCCGCGGCGCGGAGGCATTAGCAACCTCCGCTTCAGCACAGCTGCGGGCAAGATGGGGTGCAGTCAGGGACACGCCCACCGCCGGGAGTAGAGGGGTGGGGGGCTGGGGGAGGACACTCACCGGCCACCGTGTCCTGGCTGTCCGCGGAGGGCCCCCAGTAGATGCTCTCCCCTCTTCGGAAGTTTCGGTGCAGCCGAGTGCAGAGTGTGGCCAGCGTGAGCAGCACCAACAGGAAGGTCAGGGCCATGGCCGCCCAGGCGGCCTCCTCGGTGCGTGGTGTGGGGCCCTGAGCTGCCCGCGGAGGCGCTGCTGCCCGCGGGGCTGGGGAAGGCTGAGTGGGGCAGGCACAGCCGCCGGGGCTGCCTTGCCCATGATGGGGCTCCAGAGCCTCTGTCCTGGCGCTGGCCTTGCTCTCAGGGAGCCCAGGCAGCACTGTAGTTTTACTCCCCTTATCCAAGGCTCCCAACATGCGCTGCTGGGACTTCAAGCTCCAGGAGGAAGACGAGGCAGGTCTCGGGCCTGAGGGAGTGGGCTGGAGACCCAGAGCGGCCCGCAGCCCCCGCCTCTTGGCACCACTGGGAGAGGGCTGTCTGGGCCCTCTGGATGTCCCCGCAGCACCTGGGGGCCACCAGCTCTGCCGAGCAAGGGCCAGGGCCTGAGGGGAGAAGACACGGTGGTGAGCCCTGGCCTGCGCACAGAACCCAGTAATCCGGCTGCCCACCGAGCCGGCCCCGCAGGCCTTACCTGGGCACACCTCCTCCCACACAGCCCCGCTCCAGCAGAGGGAGGGGCCCCAGAAAGCCCGACAGAGTGGGGCCACTCCTTTCTCTGTCGCTGCCGCCGCCGCCGCCTCTTCAGCCAGTGGGCGGCCCAGGCTGGCTCTATCCATGCCATCTCCAGGGCCACCCCCCAGGCTGTCAGCACCACGGGCTACGAAAGGAATCAGTCCTTAGAGCAAAAGGGGAAAGGGGAGCAAGCTCTCGAATTTTCCTTCCCAGCACGTGGGGCATCATCCTCCTTGCCCGACAGCACCTTCCACCTGCCGCTTACCCGCTCCCGAGTAAGACTGGAGTCGGGGGCAAGCGGGGGCTTCGTCACCAACGTGTGGGCCAGGAGGGCAAGCCGGAGCTTCAGCCAGGGGTGGGCACAGGGGTGGTAGAGGAAGCCGACGGCCTTGGCCTGGAGGAGAGGCACAGAGACGCTCAGCTAAGCCCCAGTCCCTCCCAGTCTCATGTTCCCCTATCCTGGGGGCCAGTTCAAAGCAAGTCCCAGGATGGCCAAACGGTCCTTCCACCCTCAGCGCCCAGGAAAATATGGAGGAACCCGGGTACTACTGTGCACTCTCCTGTCTGTGTGTTCCCGTCACCCCTCATCTCCATCAAGGGCTACCCTCAAAGGTCATAGCCCGGCCAGACGCACACCACACTCCTCAGCTGTCTCTCTGCACCTGCGGCACAGTGACGCCTCTGCAGGTGCACAGTCCAGACTCCAAGCGCCCCCAAACAAAGACCAGGTCTTTACATATAGGTTGGATTGGGAAGCAGTCAGTCCCCCAAGAGCTTCTCGATCCAGGGCATGCAGGCAGCAGGTGCACAACCTCAGGACTGAAATGCTTCCTTAATCATGAATCATTCTTTGACTGAGTCGACCTGGCGCTCAGCACTGAGCTATGTGCTGCAGCAGATGCAAACGAGAGCAGAGCCTGCGTAAGAAACCCAGGAACAGCCACTGCGAGTGCAAGAGTAAACTAACAAACTCCAAGTGGTCAGCAGAGAAACTGGAAGAGACGGTTATGAGCATTACAGGAATTTGGGGGAGGATGGAAAAAAGAAGGCTGACAAGACCAGGTGAGATGAGGAGGCTGTGAGCTCTCCGGGGAGGCTGCGGAGAGCAGGGAGCTGCAGACAGGCCAGGGGTGGCGGAGAATAACAGAAGCACCTGTGTAGTGAGCCGACCACAACACCAAGAGGAACCAAGGGTTGGGAGAGGCCGGAAAAGGCTTCTTTAAGGTCTAAGAAGCCAGGCAGGGCTGTGTGAGGGAAGGGCCTGGTAGGTGACAGGATGCAACATCTCTTGGTGTGGAGATAGGATCCCCAAACATTAGATATTGCAGAGGAAAACCCAATGCAGGGCCCAAGCCCTGGGGCCATCCTCTGCTGCTTTCCCAGGCACATTAGCAGGCAGCTGGACCAAAAGTGGAGCAGCCGAGACTCAGAGCAGTGGCCATTAGGGACACTGGCAACACTGTCGCAGGAGTCGGCTTCACCTGCTATGCCACAATGACGGCCCTAACGTCTCCTTTTTTTCCCCCTCACTAGACTGGAAACTCTGAGGCCACGCACTGTTTATTTGTCTACCACAATGATGTTCGCTGAATTTGTGAATAAGCTCATTTAAACTTTGCCACCATGAAGGGTACTATTTTATCCCCATTTAGAGAGGACAAAAACTGAGGCTTAGCACAGTTGCTTCGCCAGCCCAAGGTAAATGCCTGTGTCCTCTCCAGTTTTGTGTGTGTGTGTGTGTGTTTTTTGACAGGCAAAGTGGATAGTGAGAGAGAGAGACAGAGAGAAAGGTCTTCCTTTTTGCTGTTAGTTCACCCTCCAATGGCCGCCGCGGCCGGCGCACCGCGCTGATCCAATGGCAGGAGCCAGATGCTTCTCCTGGTCTCCCGTGGGGTGCAGGGCCCAAGCACTTGGGCCATCCTCCACTGCACTCCCTGGCCACAGCAGAGAGCTGGGCTGGAAGAGGGGCAACCGGGACAGAATCCGGCGCCCCGACCGGGACTAGAACCCTGTGTGCCGGCGTCGCTAGGCAGAGGATTAGCCTAGTGAGCCGCGGCGCCGGCCCTCTCCAGTCTTGATTACGGAGCAACACCTGGCTCTCACCACGTACTTGCCCTGTTCATCTCTACCTCCTGAATGCCTTTTCAGTAAATACGCATTTATGTGTGGGGAAAAACCAATGAAAACCCAAAGGGACAAGAAAGTTCTCTGACTACGGGCAAAGATGACACTTGGAGAGAGGCAGCCATGCAAGCCGAGCCCGCAGTTTGGGGCCTGAAACCCAGGACGCATGCCTAACAGGACACGGCCATGTGCCCTCCCAGGCTCTGTCACACCCTTCCCCCTTCACGGTGGAGGCAGAACATCCGCTCGTACAGAAAACTGGGTCCCAGGAAGCCGGACTGCCCGCAGTCACACAGCGGGGTTGGAGCCCGCCATTGCTTTTCCTGCTACCCTGACCCCGCGGGCAGCCGCCTGCCCACATAGCCCGCTACTCCACAGCTCAGGGCAGTCCAGCAGGCTGCCAGCTTCACGCCCACATCCCATATCGGACTGCTGGTGGGAGTCCAATCCAGCACTGGGAAGGCAGCAGAGGGTGCCAAAGTGCCTGGGCACCTGCCACCCATGTGGGAGACCCAGAGGGAGCTCCTGGCTCCTGGTTTCTGCTGACCCAGAGCTGCCTGTTTTAGCCAACTTGAGAGAACCAGTAGATGGGGCATTTCTCTTTCTCTCTCTCCCTCCCTCTGTTGCTCTGCCTTTCAAATAAATAAATCTGTATTAAAAAAAAAAAAAAAAAGCCGCTCCACAGCACTTCTGAGCACTGGGGCCTACGGCTCACCATCCCCGGGGACTGGGAACCGTGCCTCTTCCTGAGGGAGTGGTTAGCAAGGCAGCGACTAAAAAGAGCAGCGGGGGCGGTTCTCCCAGGGGCAGACGCTCTGGTGGGTCTGTGACTGTACTCACCTGCGCTGGGCTCACACGTGTGTAGGTCACTCTTGGGGACACCTACACATGGACAAAGACGACAGCTTAGAGCAGCGGGGTGCGCCCTGTGTTGGGTGAGGAGGTGCTGGCAGGTCCCAAGGGCCACGCTGGGATGGAAAAGTTGGCTACTGGGGCAGGAGGAACCGGCAGAGGTACCCGGAGGGTGCGCGTGGGGCGCGGCCAGAGCAGGACCCGGCTCCCCTTTCACACCCCTCTCACCCTCCTGCTCTCCAGGACTCCTACCTGTGGGGGCAGAGGCCACAGGCCCTCCGGACAGCCGACTCCTGCCTCCTCCGCCGGCCCAGTCACCACCTGTGGGTCCAAAGCGACCAGCTGGGGCGCTGGCCTCGGCGAGGGCCCGGCCCGCTCCGTCCCCAGGCCCAGCCCGCCAGTACGGAGTCCCCTCCGAGCACGCCACTCCTTCCAGGGCGAACTTCTGGCAAAGCGCTTTGAGATCCCGGGCCCGGGCGGAAGGCTTCCCGGGAGCGGCTCGCCTTACCTCGCCGGGACCCAGGAGCCCCGCCAGGGCGGCCAGGAGAAGCAGCTGGGGCGAAGGAGGAGGAGGAGGCGCCATCCCAGCCCACCCGGGGCCCGGCTCGCCGCCCCGCCCCGCCCTGCCCCCGCGCCCCCGCGCCCCTGCGCCCCAGCGCCGCCCGCGCGCCCACGTAGACCCCGGTCGCGCGCGCCCCCCGCCCCGCCCCCGCCCCGCCCTTCGCCCGCCCCCAGCAGCCGAGCGTGCGCGCTCGCGTGCTAAACCCCAAGCCGGAAAAGTTAGGAGTCTGAGCTTGGGGGCTGAGCGCGCTGCGGGGCAGGAGGAGGACCACCTCCCTCGCCCAGGGGTTCTTCCCCGCGCGGCCCCGTGGCCTGCGGAGAGCAGCTGCAGGGCCTGCGGGGGATTCTGGAGCAGGGGCGAGGGCGGGAAATGGGACTCTTGGAGGTGATCGGCGGGCTCCTCTGTGACCCGCAACCAGGCTCCCCAAGTCCGACCTGCCGGAGCGGGAGCGGCACTTTGCCACACGGCCTGGGCTGCCCTAGCACATCAGGCCCCGGGGTCCCGAGGCCGGGGCTGGCCCGGGCGATGCTGCGCCACCCCCACCCCGCCACACACACACACACACACACACACACACACACACTTCGGCCTGCCCCGGCCCCTGCAGTCGTCGCTCGCCCGGCGGCGGCCAGAGAGGCACTGGCGGCCGTGAGGTGGCGAAGTGCCAGGCCTCGCCCTAACGGGACGCACCGGCCGGGCTTGCCCGTCAGCCGGGCGTCGGCTCTGCTGTCCTCTGCAGGATTTGCAGAGCGAGGGTTGGGGTGTCCTGCCCCAGACTTCGGAGTCCTGCAGGAGCGGGTTACTTTCGCCGTCTGCCGCAGCCGCTGGCTCGCAGGGGCTCCCCGCCCTCCCGCAGGGCTGCCGTCGCCGGCGGACTCTCACCCCTCGCAGGGCGCCCCGCTCGCTCTCGGGGGCGTGGGGCTGTTTATACCCGGTGAAGCCTTCCTCGCTCTTCCCCGCTCGCCGGGCTCCTCGCGGAGCCAGCGGGACGTCGCACGGGTGCGGGCACCGTCTCGCCGCAAACCCGCTGTCGGGGGCCACCCTCCTCTCACCCCGCCGCCGCCGCCGCCGCCGCCGCCGCGTGACTGTGCCGTTGCGGGGTCTGGCGGGGCCGAGACCCACACTGAGGTCTGCGAGCGCGGGACCCTGGGAGCCGCGGGGAGCAGCCGCGAGCAGCGACACAGGGTCTCTCCCGCCTGCCGCAGGCCGCGCTAGGCCGAGGGGTGGGGGCCTCTGGTGCTCGCCCCCGGCCCGCGAGCCTCGGGCTCCCGCCCCCTCCGTTCGCACCCTCCCCCTCGCCCCGGCCGCTTTCACCCTGTGCCCCTGCTTGTCGCAATCGCTGTACAAAGGGCCCGGGCGGGAGCCCTTTGGCTGCCTCTGCGGGGCCGCAGCCAATCCGAAGGGCGCCCGCCCGCCCGCCCGCGCGAGAGGGCTCTGGGCGCCAGGCGGAGCCGCGGACACAGAGGCGAGCTCGGCGCGGGGGCGGCCCGCTGCAGCCTGCCCGCCGGGGGCTCCGTGCCTCGCCATGCCGCCGTGGGCCGCTGTCCTGGCGCTGTGCCTGGCCGTTCTCACCCTGCTCCTCCTGCTCGGCCCGCGGCTTGGGCGCCCCTGGAGGCGCGCCGTCGGAGCCAGGACCCGGCCGCGGGCTCCGGGCCAAGACGGCGAGGAGGAGGCAGCCGGCGGAGGCCCCTCGGATCAGTTCGGCGACGGGCGCGAGCCGCTGCCGGGGGGCTGCAGCCTGCTTTGTAAGCCGTCGGCGCTGGCCCAATGCCTGCTGCGCGTGCTGCGGCGCTCGGCTGCGTTGGGGCCGGCTCCGCGCTCCTGGCTCTCCGGGCCCCACCTGCAGACCCTCGTCCACTTCGTCCTGCCGGCCGGGCCCGGGCCTGAGCTGGCCCGGGAGTACCTGCAGTTGGCAGACGACGGGCTGGTGGCCCTGGACTGGGTCGTAGGACCTTGCGCTCAGGGCCGCCGGGTCACCGGCGCCGGGGGCTTTCGGGCGGTGCTGCTGGTGATCCCCAATGCGTGGGGGCGCCTCACCCGCAATGTGCTGGGCCTCTGCCTGCTGGCCATGGAACGCGGCTACTACCCGGTCATCTTCCACCGCCGCGGCCACAACGGCTGCCCGCTGGTCAGCCCCCGGCTGCAGTCCTTCGGGGACCCGTCGGACCTCAAGGAGGCGGTCACTTACATCCGCTTCCGACACCCTGCGGCCCCGCTGTTCGCGGTGAGCGAGGGCTCGGGCTCGGCGCTGCTGCTGTCCTACCTGGGCGAGTGCGGCTCCTCAAGCTACGTGACCGGCGCCGCCTGCATCTCGCCGGTGCTGCGCTGCCGCGAGTGGCTCGAAGCCGGCCTTCCGTGGCCCTACGAGCGGGGCTTTCTGCTCCACCAGAAGATCGCCCTCAGCAGGTGGGTGACGGCAAACAGACGTGGGCCATGTTGCCCATTTCTTCTCGCACCTCTTCCAAATCTGTCCGAACGCTACAGTCTAGACAACACTAGGAGCAGGTTTAAAAGCAACGGATGGGTTTAGCTGTGCCGCAGTAGGGACTCCTGCGGGGGGCCCTGTCTCAGCCCCAGGTGTCCTAGCAACTTGAGTACCTGGCCTGCCGGCCCCAGAGCGGCACCTGCCTCCACTTGGTCCGAAGCTCAGGGCCAGGGCAGCGATTGCTACCGAATATCTGTGCAGAATGTTTACTTACAGGCTCTGAGCGGGGAGATGTCAGGACGCAGAAGTGGGGACGCTGTTGGGATTTATTCGAACTCTTTAGGCCTACCTGATTTCGCCTGTTCCTAGGTGTGTATTCAACACATTTAATACAAAATATTGGAACAGAACTGTTTGACCGCCAAGGTGACAGGCAAGACTTTGCCATGGAGAAAGCCCGAGTGACATTCCCGGCTTTTGCTAGGAGATGGCGGAATGAGATGGGAGACGTCTGGCAACTGTGAGGGCTAGCGAAGGACCTGGGCTGTGGGGTCAGGCTCGGTTGCCTTCAGCCCTGAATTTCCAGCGAGCCCGCCAACCCCTTCAAGCCTCCCTTCCCTATGCAGTTAAATGAAGTTGAGAACCACTCCATTTTTATTACAGATCATTACATGAGAAAACAAAAGGGGAGGAGGTGGCACAGAAGAGGCTCTCCGTAAACGGTGGCAATGGTGATGTTAAATTTTTACAGTTTGTTTGAGAGGAAGAGAGAGAGCGCGCTCGGATCGGCTGGTGTGCTCAGCGCTGCACGCTGGGAATTCAGCCCAGCTCGCTCTCATGCGGGACCCCTGCTGCCTCCCAGGGGCTACATCCACGGGAAACCGTGGAGGAGCCAGAGCCGGGAGTGGAGCGCAGGCGCTGGCCAGGAGGTGTGGGCACCTTGGCGCTAGGCTGAACACCCTCCCTGAGCTCAGCAACAGGCCAGGGCGCTGCCCTAGCAACCCAGAGCTCCGGCAGTGCGGGGGCAAGGCGCCCTCATCTGGCTCAGCTGCCATAGTTTCTGTCCCCAAACGCCCTCCCTCCCCAGCCAGCACACTGACCCTGGCCACCAGCTTGGAGGGCGGGGTGAGGGAGGTGAGGAGGAAATCCGCCCTTCTGATGGAAGTGTGGGACCGAAAACTCAGGCGAGCATCTTTGAATGTTTGCAGGAGACACCGATCTCAATTCATCTGGCCAAGGCTGGAGTGGTTCACCCCAGTGTCTGGTCCCCCGCCCTGCCTGCCTTGTCAGGGTGTCAGGCCCTCTCCAGGGGGCTGCAGAGAGCACTCTGAGACCAGCAGTAAATCGGCTCCATTCCAGTTGTTTCCTCTGCCAGCCAGCACGCTTCCGGAGCACCTGCCCCAGCTGTGCCCAAGCGGGGCATTCTCTTGTCATCAGGACAGCACGTTTGCTTTCTAAAAAAGTGAAAGCCCAACAATTAACACAATTTTCAGTAAAATGAGAATGGTGGGGAAGGCGGGGCTTCTGTCTTTGGTTTGGATTGCCTGAGCCCATGCGTTCTTTTTTTTTTTTTTTTTAAGATTTTAATTAATTTACTTATTTGAGAGGTAGAGTTTCAGAGAGAGGGAGAGGCAGAAAGAAAGGTCTTCTATCCACTGATTCACTCCCCAGATGGTTGCAACGAATGGAGTTGAGCGGATCCGAAGCCAGGAGACTGCAGCTTCTTCCAGGTCTCCCATGTTGGTACAGGGCCCCAAGCACTTGGGCCATCTTCAACAGCTTTCCCAGGCCATAGCAGAGAGCCGGATCAGAAGAAAAGCAGCTGAGATTCGTACCGGTGCCCATTGGGGTTCTGGTACTGCAGGCGGAGGCTTAGCCTGCTAAGCCACAGTGCCAGCCCTGTTTCTTTTTTAAAGATTGAATTATTGGGCCGGCGCCGCGGCTCACTAGGCTAATCCTCCGCCTAGCGGCGCCGGCACACCGGGTTCTAGTCCCGGTCGGGGCGCCGGATTCTGTCCCGGTTGCCCCTCTTCCAGGCCAGCCCTCTGCTGTGGCCAGGGAGTGCAGTGGAGGATGGCCCAAGTCCTTGGGCCCTGCACCCCATGGGAGACCAGGAAAAGCACCTGGCTCCTGGCTCCTGCCATCGGATCAGCGCGGTGCGCCGGCCGCAGCACGCCGGCCGCGGCGGCCATTGGAGGGTGAACCAACGGCAAAGGAAGACCTTTCTCTCTGTCTCTCTCTCTCACTGTCCACTCTGCCTGTCAAAAAATAAAAAAAATAAAAAAAATAAAGAAAAAGAAAAAAAAGATTGAATTATTGGGGCTGGTGCCATGGCTCACTTGGCTAATCCTCCGCCTGCAGCGCCGGCATCCCATATTGGCTCCTCTTCCAGTCCAGCTCTCTGCTGTGGCCCAGGAAGGAGGCAGTGGAGGATGGCCCAAGTGCTTGGGCCCCTGAACCCGCATGGGAGACCAGGAAGAAGCACCTGGCTCCTGGCTTCGGATCGGCACAGCGCCGGCCATGGTGGCCATTTGGGGAGTGAACCAACGGAAGGAAGACCTTTCTCTCTGTCTCTCTCACTGCCTATAACTCTACCTGTCAAATTTTTAAAAATATTGAATTATTTATTTGAAAGCCAGAGTTACAGAGAGGGAAATCTTCTACCTGCTGGTTCACTTTCCAGATGGCTGCAATGGCCAGTGCTGGACCAGGCCAAAGCCACGAGCCAGGAGCTTCTTCTGGGTCTCCCATGTGGATAACAGGGGCCCAAGTACTTGTGCCATCTTCCACTGCTTTTCCAGGCCATAGCAGGGAGCTGGAATTGAAGTGGAGCAGCTGGGACTTGAACAGGTACCCATATGGGATGGCAGCATTGCAGGCAGCAGCTTTATCTGCTAAGCCACAATGCTGGCCCCTCTTTCTTCTTTTTAATAAACATTGATTTATTTGAAAGTTTGAAAGAAAGAGAGAGAGAGAGGTCTTCCATCTGCTGGTTCACTTTCCAAATGGCACAACAGCCAGGACTGGGCCAGGAACTCCATCCACGCCTTCCACGTGGGTGGCAGGGGCCCAAATACTTGGGCTGTCATCCACTGCCTCCCTAGATGCATCAGCAGAGAGCTGGATGGGAAGTGGAGCAGCCAGGACTCAACCAGGCACTCTGATATGGGCTGCTCATGCTGCAAGTGGCGCTTAACCCACGGCACTGCAATGCCAGCCCGGAGTTTGTTCTCCTAGGAGGGCTCAGCGGGTGATGGCTCCCAGCAGGCTCCCTCGAGAGGGCCTGAGGTTGAGGTGAGGAGGAGCACAGCTGTGGAGTCAGATGTCCCCAGGGCTGGGCAGGGACACAGGAAGGGGGGAGGAACCAGTTGTTGCCACCAAGGAATGACAACCCATGTGGCTCCACCGTCCCACTTCCCCCAAGAAGCCACATGCCTGCATTTTACATAACTGATTTTACATGACGGCTGTGAAATGGAAGTTTTTTGTAAAGTGCCAGCCAGCCCAAGAAAGCCTCTGTAGCCAGAATCTGGCCTGCTGGCCACCCGTGTGTGAATTCTGTTGTCAGCATGGTGTTCTCATTCTTCCCCTCCCCCGCCCCCTCGACCTCTTGCTGCCAGGTACGCCACGGCCCTGCAGGACACGGTGGACACCAGCAGGCTGTTCAGAAGCCGCACCCTGCGGGAGTTCGAGGAGACCCTCTTCTGCCACACCAAGACCTTCCCCATCAGCTGGGACACCTACTGGGACCGCAACGACCCCCTCCGGGACGTGGACGAGGCGGCCGTGCCCGTGCTGTGCATCTGCAGTGCCGACGACCCCGTGTGCGGGGCCCCGGACCTCACCCTGCCCGCCGAACTCTTCCACAGCAACCCCTACTTCTTCCTGCTGCTCAGTCCTCGCGGAGGCCACTGCGGCTTCCTGCGCCGGGAGCCCCTGCCGGCCTGGAGCCACGAGGTCATCCTGGACTCCTTCAGGGCCTTGACTGAGTTCTTCCGGATGGAAGAGAGGCTGAAAGGGCTGAGCAGGCGCCGAGCGTCAGTCTTAGGGGGCCGGCGTCGCTGGGGAAGCCTGCAGAAGCGGGAGGTCTCTCCCTCTTCCAGTCTGGAGGAGGGCTTTAGCTGGAAGCGATCATACACGAGGTGAGACCTGGCCTGAGCCCCTCCCCCCGCCCCGTCCTTCGTGGAAGAGCAGAGCTGGGCATGGGGGTGTCCCACAAAGCTGCTGAGGGCTGCTTCGGGGAGCTCCCGCTCAGTGCCCCTGATTCAGGCCCCTCTCTCTTAAGCTGCTCTGTGGAAAGAGATGGAACTTCCAGCAAGCTTGCACTCACCATGCCCTGCACAAAACTGCCCAGGCTCTCGCTGGTCCAGCACCCGGGGCACTCCCGGCACTGTCACCAATCACTGGCTTCATAAGCCAAAGAACAGCACCTTTTAAGTCTGCGGGCCCAGGAGAAAAATGCTCTTAGTAGCAGTGGCTCCAGGGAAGCTGGGTTCATGCGTGCCGGTGCACCGCTCTGTCCCACACAGACAGCTCAGCGACCCTGGCTCTGAGCAGGAGCCACTTGATGGAGAAAGGACAGGATGTTTGTGTCTCGGCCCCACTTCCCTCATCTGCTCTGTGGTTGGGGCGCTCCGCTGTGACTGCGTCGGCAGCTGTGGCAGCAGCCCCCGGGTTGCGTGACTGTTGCAGGCTTGGCCGGGCATGAGGAGGGCGGCAGAGGCGGGCAGTGCAGTGTGAGGTTCACTCGGGGAGAATGTGAGCGCCCATCTGGGCTGCTGAGGTGCATCTCAAAGAGGAGCTCTGCAAGTCTCCGCTGGAAGGGGGCTTTGGCCTGGGCCCCCGGGCCCCCGGGAGAGATGCCAAGGGCGCTGCAGGAACAAGCGCACCTCACACGTGGCCTCAGGACTCTGCCAGGCACGACTGCTGCAGGCAGGCTCCCTGGGATGCTGGCTCCAGCACATTCAGGGATTCCTCCGAAACCGCCCACCAGAATAGTTCTCCTGAGATGAGGGCTTTATTTAATCAGTGAAAGGTACAGTCCTCATAACCGAGGCTTTCTGGAGAGTTGTTCCCTCCCTGACACGACCACTAGCCTCTCCCTTTCAGAGTTAAGGGGACCAGAGAAGACAAAAGCACAGATCAGCGCTGACTGCCTGAGCATGTTTGTCTGCTCAGTTGTACAGAAGGCACAAAAGCTGTTGTCGGGATCTGGCTACTCAGTGACTAAGCGGGTGTTTGGTTTCATGAGGAACAAACACTGCAGACTGGAGTCAGATGCAGTGTACAGACTGATCCACAGATCCTGCTTTGGATCGGGCCATGGTGACGATGATTTTGGCAATAGGAGCTCTGGTTCCATGTGTTACTAAAATTCCAAAGCTTTGCCCAAAGTTTTAAATTTGTCATTGAGAAAGAGGGCACCTGTGTTGACCTCAAAACAGCACAGTGCTATTGAAGAGAAGTCTGTGTCAAAAGCCACCTCCAAGGCTTGGTTTGGCCATGATTTCATGTTTGCACAACCTGCCCCTGTCTTACTCATTTGTATTAAATAAGAATCTCTCAACTAACTCCAGGAATTTAAACTGAAAAGCATTGAGTGTCTGATGTACATTATACTCTTGTGAAAAAATTCTTCCACCTCCCTACTTCCTGCTCCTCCTCCTCCTCCTGACACACTTCACCATTTCTGAACAGGAGAAACAAAAAGGAACTGAAATCTGAAGAAGTTGCTCTAGCTGGTGAACCACCTTGGTTTAAGGCTTGGTGAGGGAGAATGGCTGACATGGGTCTCCCAGGCCAACATCCTGTACAGTGGGGATTTCAACTAGTTGGGGGCCTGCAGTCCCGCGTGCCCTAGGATCACTGAGCATCGACTGCAAAGTGGGAAGCAGCCACGTGGTCCTTCATGCTAAGACCTAAGGATCCCTGAGGGTAAAAACCTGGATAGTTTCTCTGGGCCAGAGACCCCAGGACTCGGGGTCGAGATTAGCTGGTGGAGAAATGGTGGCTCCCTTCTTAAAGGAGAGAGCTTGCCAGGGAGAATACTTCACAGCTGCGGTCTTCCGGCTCTCAGAAGGGTGGCAGAACAGCCCGAGTGCAGCTTCCCTGGGCCCGTTACCTAAACCCTGCATCGTCCTCCTCTGTGGCCCTCCTCCTGCCAGGTGTGGCGCATTGCACGTCCCCTTATCTTCCCATCACCGCTTGAAGACCAGGGCTGAAGAGCCCCTTTTTGCCAAGAAAGCGTGATTCCTGTTCACGCAGGAAAAGGTCTGGGTAACCCTGTCCGTTAGCCCAGATTGGCGCTGCTTTGCTGAACAGCTCATCATGGAAACCACGGAGCAGCCCCAGGCACGCAGTCTGGAGGGGGTGCAGCTGCTGGAACAGAATGGCAAGTGTGAGTTTGAGGAACCAAGAACCAGCAGCACACACCCCAAAGCAGTGCCACTGCGTGTCTGCAGGTGGAGGCCCCTGTGCTTGTTTGCCCTTCTTTCGGTCTCTTCGTTATTTGATAAACACCTGCAAGTGGTAGGGGAAGAAAACACAATCCAAAGCCTGGTGACGAGTTTCAGCAGTGGAGACCCAGTCCTCCTGGGTCAGAATGCAGGAAGCAGGCAGCTGTCAAGCTCTGGGCTCTGACATCAAGACCGGGCTAAACTCAACTCAATTCCCATGAAGACTTAGTATTTCCTGTACTCACACAAAGGCTTCCAGGGTGGCTTGGCTGGAGATGGCAGTGTGAAAAACAAGTCACCCAATTCTCTTTTAGAGAAGACATCACCTCAGTTTTGAGTGAAGATGTTCTAAGACTTGATTACCATCAGAAAAGAGGTCTCAAGGCAGGAAGTGTCATCTTGGCCTTGCACATAACCTCAAAAGAGCCCAGTCAGAAACTCCTCTGAACTCATCTTCCACCAAAACCGCAAGATTCTTTGTCAGACAAGTTCCCTTCCTTTAGAAATGAACTTTAGCCTGAGTTCCTCTCCCTGCTGAAACCAACAGATGTAGCTGGCTGGTTTGGGAGAACTTGATGACAATGCCAGTAGAGAGTACTGGCAAGCTGCAAAGGATGACATCAGAAATTGATCTCACCAGTTGTCTCAGTTTGCAGAGATTAACTTAGGAAAGCTTGCGAAGTTCTGCACGGGGAATGAGTGCCTCAGAAAGGCCTAAGTCCCATGCTATCGGTGGGACAGTTAAGCTCGACTCCCCTTGGCACATACCAGAGAGATGTGTCAAGAAGGGAAGGTGGCCCTGTCATCCGAGAATCTGTGAACTGAAGCGATGCGAATGAGCTCAGAGAGCTGTAAAGACTTCTGGCTAGGTTTTGGGTTTCGCTTCTCGGCCTTTCGGCCAAGATCAAGTGTAGGATTGGGGTTTGAGGATCAGTAGACCACAGTCCGGATACCAGTGGGAGTTGGGAGATGACAGATTTTTATGGAAATAAACCTGCCACAATGATCAAACCAACAGCAAATAGGGGCCGGCACTGTGGCGTAGCAGGTAAAGCCGGCACCTGCAATGCTAGTATCCCATATAGGCACTGCTTTGAGTCCCAGCTGTTCCACTTCCGATCCAGCTCTCTGCTATGGCCTGAAAAAGCAGTAGAAGATGGCCCAAGTGCCTGGGCCCCTGCATCCATGTGGGAGACCTGTTAGAGGCTCCTGGCTCCTGGCTTCAGATCGGCCCAGCACAGGCCCTGTGACCATTTGATGGAAGACCTCTCTACCTCTGCCTCTCAAATAAATGAAATTTCAAGAAAAAGAAGAAACCAAGATACCCAATAAGTATGCTCTACTTTCAAGTGCTGAGGAAGAGCCAGTTTTCAAGGTAAGACAGAAAATTCACAGAATCAATGACATTCATCTATTAAAAAAACAAAACAAAAAACAAACCTCTGGCCCCTGCAGCCTTGCTCTGGGAGGCAATCCCTTGCTCTGGTGATTACCAGTGTAGTTAGACAACAATTTCCATCTTGGCTCTAAGTAGTGAGTAGATCCCACTCCCTGCAACACTGGAATGTTTCCACTTTTCTATCTCCAGAAACAAATCTGTGCTGTTTGTCTTCAGAGGCCCCTGGGTACTCAGCCGTGCTTACCTACCGTGCAGTTTCACAGCCTCCTGCACATCCTGCATTCACTGGTTGTTGTCTCTTTTGTAGATCTAGCCTTCTGTCCCCTAATGCTAATCAGTGGCAGCTGTTTAATCAGCAACCAGACCTTCTGCTCTGGGCTAATAATTTCCCAGCAGGCTCAAAATTCCCTGATCAATGGTATCTACATAGAGATACATGTCTTTCAGTGGGAAATTCACATTTGAGTTTTGAACACAGTACTGAAAGAGTAGTTTAGAGATGTGGGTTCTAGTTCCTGCTTCATCTATGACTTAAATGATCCTAAGAAAATTATTATTATTTTAAGATTGGTTTATTTCTTTGAAAGGCAGAGTTAGAGAGAGATCTTCCATCTGCTGGTTCACTCCCCAAATGACTACAGTGGCCAGGGCTGGGCCAGACCAAAGCCAGGAGCCAGAAGCTTCTTCTAGGTCTCCCACATGCAGGCAGGAACCCAAGCACTTGGGCCATCTTTTGCTGCTTTCCTAGGCCACAGCAGAGAGCTGGATTGGAAGAAGGGCTGCCAGGACTTGTTTGCAGGCAGAGGTTTAACTTGCTGCACCATAGCACCAGCCCTAAAAAATTATTCTAGGAGTTGTTCCATATGAAAAGATTGAGATATATAGGCTGGCAGGAGATAATGAAATAGTAAAAGCACATACAAGTAGGTACTATTAACCAAGTAGACTTGCAAGTTTATGTCTTCATCAAGTAGTTACTCATTAATCATCCCAACACCCAGCACAGTGCCCAAGATTCAGTAATAATGCAGGGGCTGGGGGCTGGTGCTGTGGCCTAGCAGGTAAAGTCATCACCAGTGCTGGAATCCCAAATGGGCACTAGTTCAATTCCTGGCTGCTCCATTTCCAATCCAGCTACCTGCTAATGTACCTGGGAAAGTATGGCCCATGCACCCAAGTGGGAGACCTGGAGGAAGCTCCTGGCTCTTGGTTTCAGATCAGCCCAGCTCCAGCCATTGTGGCCATTTGGGGAAAGAGTCAGCAAATGAAGATTTCTATGTCTCTGCCTTTCAAATAAATAAATCTTTAAAAAAAAAATGCAGCAGCTGCCGCTGTGGTGTAACTGGTAGCGCCGCTGCCTGTTAACCAAAGCAGACATCCCACATAGGAGTTGGTTTGTGTCCTAGCTGCTCTACTTCCAATCCAGCTCCCTGCTAATGTGCCTGAGAAAGCAGTGGAAGATGGCCCAAGTGTCTGGGCCCTTGCCCCCAAAATGGGAGACCTGGATCAAGCGCCTACATCCTGGCTTTTGCTTGGCTTGCACTGGCCATTGTGGTCATCTGTGGGAGTGAACCCCTAGATAGATGATCTCTCCCTCTCTCGAAAGAAAGAGAGAGAGAAAGAGAGAGAGAGATGAAGATGCTCAAGTGCTTGGGCTCCTGCCACCCAAATGAAAGATGGGGATGAAGCTCCTGGCTTTGGCCTGACTCAGCCCTGATCATTTCAGCCATCTGGGGAGTCAATCAGCCAATGGAAGACATCTCTCTGTGTCTCTTCCTCTCTTTCTCTGTAACTCTTTCAAATAAATAAATAAATAAATCTTAAAGAAGTAATAATCCAATAGTCACTGAATTGAAGTATACTTTATGGGAATAAAATTATCTTTAAAAACTGAGCAGACACTCTGTGTACTAAAATTACTTTATTACAGTTGATTTTTTTAAACATTTCCTTTGCTATGATACAAAGGATACTTACAAACAAAATATTACATATGACCTTGTTTTCGCTCTTATGTTCTGACAACTTGGTAACAGCTTTAAATGCACAATCTATACAATTAATACAGGTTATATATGAACTATCAGGTATGCTGAACCAGAAGAACACTGACAATACGCTGTACAAGGAGCCTTACCAGTTAGTGCCGTGGACCATTTCTACCGAAGGGAAATGCACATCTGTACAGCCGCCTTTGCCAGCTGGCACGGACAGGGAGGGAGGCTTCTTCCCCATCACAGCCCTTGCTAAGCCTCCACTGTAGGCATCTGTTTGGTCCAAAAATTGAGAGGACTGCATACATTTAAAATCAGTCATTGGTAAAGTGGTGGAACATCACACTTTCAACATGATACTCTCTCACCCAAAAAATCAGTCCCAGTTTTAATGACCACAGGTCCTTCGTCCATCATGAAAACCCTACAGGATCAAGGGCTTTGGGAGATGAGAAGATGAAGGCTGCCAAAAAAGGAGGCAAGAAACCAAGCCAAAATCTAGGTCTTGCAAAATCATCATTTTTCCCTTCACCAAAGGGAACTAGAAATGTACAAATTCATTGATGAACCTCAATGATAACATCAGTTAGCTGATAACCCTCATTTTACCTGGACCCCTGACTCGTGGGAATAACCAAAATAGACTGTGGATAATATATATACCACTTCTAGGAAGGAACCTTTTGCTTAGAATATTCCCTTTAGACACCAAAGCTGGTCCTGGGCTATTCAGGTGTGCATTCATCTCTCAATGGTCTACTCAGAAATGATAAGGTTACAGCTTTTTTTCTTTTTTTTTTTTTTTAAATAAAAAAAGCGACTGAAGCATTTTTTAAAAGGTAAATAGCAAAAATAAAAATAAAAACCAACCCTGGCATTTGCACAAATAATGCAAATGGAGTGATATGGCCTTTAAGGAAGGGTTAGTAGAAGGGAAGATAGAAGTGAAGAAAATCCAGAGAAAATGATGTATTAGTTTTTCTTTTTAAAAATTTCTACATGTGCAAAAAAATCATGCTGTTTGAGAAAAACAAAGGGAAATGAGTACATAAAACTAAAAACATAAATAATATGTTTGGATGACTGGTAAAAGCAGAAACCAACCTGGGTTACAAAAAGGATTATACATTCAAGATGCTCTTAAACCCAGTGGGATAACTTATGTTAAAACTGTGTTAATAGTTATGTTAAAAATCTCAAGTTTGTTTTTAAATCTTCACAATACAAGCAAAGCTGTTTTAAAATATACACTATACATATTTCTCATAGTCTCTCCAACCTCATTAATGCGCATTACACCATTTCATAAACTAAAACATGGGGGTTCTGAAAGCTCAATTGCTCATAGTAACCCATCCATTATTTAAATGTTTGTTTGAAGTTTTAAGTGGGTTAAAAATCTTAGCAGACTTACATAAATAGGATTTAGCAACACAAGTGTTAATTTAAAAAACTCTAAAGCATTTACAAATTATCCGATTTGAACAGTCTGGGAAGTTATGTGCACTATACTTTAAAATGTTATTTACATCAGACCATTGCTTTTGTAGAAATTTCCCTAGAAAATACTAAAAAAGAAAAAAAAAGATGATGATGAATTAACCTGTTTTCACCTAGCGGGAAAAGATCATAAAAGAAAAGGTAAAATAAGAACAAACTTACATCCTAATAGAAACCCCACACATCCCTCCTCATTTAGGTTTTACTCTAGGAAACCACTTGTAACTCTTAATAGGCTCATTCCTCAAGTGTCAAGATACTGGGGTAAAATACCTTGTCAGGTAAATTACTGGCCTCAAGTGGACTTTTCTTTTTTTTGAAATGTTTTCCCACCTTATGTCTCTGGCTTGGATTATTTTGGGACATCTGTAATTTATTAGAGGGGCACTCTAAATAGGCACAATTCCCATTGAATGTGGAATAAGAATCATAAAATGCTATTAGGAAGAAGGGGTGGTGGTTTCTTTGATACTATGAAATGCAAGGAAAGAGAAGAGTACATTTGGAATGGGCACCCAGAGAAGGCTGTGTGGCAATACACCATGGGCAGCCAACATCCTTATAAACTAAATGTACTTGACTATGACCAAAAAAAGGAAAAAGGGTTAGAAGGGATCTAATATCCCCTAGGTCTTTTAATATGTGCCAAATCGCCACAAAGACCAGCCAGAATCTGCAAGTGTTAGGCAGTTACATCCTTTTTAATCATACCCTTTTTATTCACTCCATGACCATGTGCAATTTATAATAACAGTAATGTTCATGCCTAGGCAATGTCTTTGAGGGCTCAGAAAAAGCAAAATGTGCCACTGAGAGAAACCTGTTCCCATATAACTGGTCTTCATGCTTTCAAGTGGCCCTAATATACCTTGGATACTAAGCCAAGCCATGCAAAAGCAAAGAGTACACACTTTTCATTAACATTGGTATCTCATTTCTAAACCACTGACCTCAGAGTTGCCATAGAAACATATAAACACAAATACTGAAAGCATACAGTTGAGGGTTTATGGATTTTTACGAAATGCATTTCCCTCAGCTATGGTCACCAGTCTTCAGTACCTTGGCTACAAGGCATATCACAGAAAGGGAGGTTAAGTGGGGATAATGCAAAAGGAATCTATGTAGCTCTGGAATCAGGACAAATGCTCCAGAAATGGGATCAATGTGCCAGCAATAAGCATAGTTCATTTCATTTGAAAATTCAGTTACAGAGCCCAATAAACAGTCCCAAACCATAATGTTATCACTTGCATAATTTACATCAACATTCAAACACTTGCACTTCACAGACAAAACACACTTCTGTAAACATGGCCACTGGGGGAGGGCGGTTCCTTACCTCATTCATGACTGAGGACATGTAATCATTATATTAAATAAAATTATTTCGCTTTAAAAGACTTCAAACCTGACCAATGATTAAGCTTCATTTCTCCCTGTGTAACAACACTTAGGCATTAATTCTAAAAATGTCACCTAGGATGATTTCAGGATTAGATGCTAGGACCACAACTGGCAATGACAGCAACTCCTCTCTAAGGGGCACAGAGCTATAAACTTTAGTACAAAAACAAAAAAATACAGAAACTAAGTCAATTTGTTAGCTACATATTTACAGATAATTACAGGATTTTTCACTCATAATTGCTAAAAACTATGAGTGAAAGGAAACTGTGCAGGTTGAATTACCCGTACTTTGGGGGAAATCCTTGGGCACTGATACCCTTCTTCATTCACTCATAACATCACACTTTGCACTTTTCATGGCAAACTACCTACAGATGTTCAGACTTCTAAGTTTGGTGGGCATCCTGCCATTTCAGAGCAAATTTAACCCTTTTCTTTTTTTAAAGAACCCTTTGTATTTAAAACAAAATAAAAAATACACTCCAACAGACACATACACACACACAAATCTTGGAAGCTTCACAAAATTTGGATAGCTGGCAAACAGTGATGGTGACATAGTAAATGGCTCCCCAATAATTCTCTGCCTTTATTCTCTCTAAAGGATATCTATGGGTGGGTGGAAGTGCAAGTTTAAGAAACCCACAATAGGCAGATAAGGTGCATACTAATTTATAAAATTTCTTATGATCTGAAGCCTACTCTTAGGCCAAATGGGTTCTGTCCCTTTGTGTGAATGAAATTTTGAAGTCTAAATAAAAATGAGGAAAAAATTAGTCAACTTGACTTTACAGGGGCTACCAGAATTCAGTAGAAAATACAAATGCACAATAAAGGAAGATTTCTCAGCTTCACTTTCTTTTTCCAGACAGTGTTTAATAAAACTAAAAGTCATTTCCAATGTAGACCTATTTGTAGTGATTTCATCAAAGTGCAGACAACATAACCACACACAGCAAAACAGACTTCAATCAGTAGTCCTTGCATACAAGAGGCAAGTCTGCTAAGTGTACAGAACACTCTTCACTCTATAAGGAATCTGAGGGTGGGAAATGTCCAGTTCTTAACAACTAAGAATGAGTAAATGCCTTTTAAAAGGCAGTGCTACAACCTGGTTGGGACACTTAAGTTAGATGGAGAAAACAAAACCGATTTTGTGTCTCTTCAATAACGATCTGTATTTTGGTAAGCAGCTCGAAGATGACAGCCCAAGTTTTGACCCTGCTCCTTAGAGAGGCTCTTTTCTATCTACAAAATGAAATCCTCTTCTTCCATCAGTAAGGAAGATTCACACTTATATACCTTACATACATTATTTTCTGACTTGACTACACACTAAGACACTTCACATTGTGAGCTGGGACAAAACACAGGACTATATAAGCCTCCAAGGAAAGGATTGCTGTGTTGGGCCAAATCTCTGCTTGAATAATAGTGGCTCAGAATGGGTAGAAGGTGCACAAAGAACTTACTATTAGCAAGCAAGAGGAGGCAGCTAAAAGGAGAAAGCACCTCACACCAATACCATATTTTTCTCTCCCAGTGGCCATTTCCTGTAGACTTTACAGTTTAGGAGAATGTTAGATACTTTAGCAGTATTTCTCTTTGCTCTTCTGATCCTCACCAAAATATATAATTATTAATATTAATGGAATAAAATAATAGGAGGATCAATGGCATCACTACTAAGAAGTATGTATAGAGACTACATAGAAGGTTGTGATTTATTGGTTTTTAAATCATCTTTGCAGAGGAATCACCATCAGTGTTCTTAACTTGCTATGGTTCATTTCTCTCTGCATCACTTATCTTTTATTGAATCACAACATGAAATGGCTCCTTCCCCAGCACTATTTTACTAAATTGCAAATTATGGTTCCATATTCTGCTTAACTTTCTCTTCACTCACACAAGTTTTAAGAGGGGATTAAAAAGGAAAAGATTGCATCTAATGATCACCTTCTCATAAATATCAACCGAGAGTACTCATTTGTAAGAAGCACTGGCATTCTTGCCTTAACTGAGGACTGAAATAACAAAACCAAACAAAAACAACAGAACCTTAAGCGCCCTGATGGAAATGTACAGTATGAGTTACATCCATCTATCTATACACATATAGACACTCATATGTATATACAATATATACATACAAATGATAATAGCTATACCAAAAATGTGCATATTAAACAGTTTTAAAAAGCCAGTAGATGATGGTATAATACAATTTATTTCCACTAGTGAATGGCACAAATGGAGAAATGCAAAGGAGGTGTTTCAAGTACAATGAAGTTATTTTTCACAGGTGAAAATAAATAGTATTATTCCAGTGTCCAACACATGTATTCTATAAAAGTTTAAAATGCTAGACATTTAGTACTTACAGAAGCAGAAAGTAACTAAAGTCTGCCTTATGGTCTGAAAAAGATACTCATAATTTTTCAGTTTTTGAAAAGAGGGTGAGGAAAAATTCATGGAGTTGGAGGGAGTATCCAGGATAGTTTCTTTAGTGGACTGAATGGTATTTACCTGATGTCTAGGCAGCCAAAAGTAATAAGGACTATGTTAAACACTTCAATTTATCAATAAATCCTTGACTTGAGATTATGAAGCATGTTGCTTCCGTGAGTGCAGCTTCAAATGGAGGACTATTCATCTCTAGGTACAGAAATTACTAAAAAGAATAGAAGCTCTGAATAAAAACCATATAAACACAGTTTTCAGCTAACATTATCTATGTAAGGACAATATTATCAGATACTATAATTTGGGATCAGAGCTGACTTTAATAAGGAGGAAAAAACACATTCAAAGGGAAGGGAATCCAATTAGAGATAATTTATTCATTTAAGAGGATTTGCATTTTTAAAATGCTAACCTCAAAAAAGGGAGAGGGAGCAAACACAAGAAACTTTTTACTGTCAGGCTCTGGATACCAGATATAGCATTTATAACTTATGATATGGTATACATATTTCCCACATTTTTATTTCTCTTAAACATATAATGAGTTAACACCAACACTGGGAAGGAGGTAGTGTTAATTTGATCAAATGTTGAGATTTGCACACTGACTGAGCAAAGTGCTTACTCTTTCTTTAGGAAATCTCAAAACCTTTCAAATTTTCCTGCTACAAGCATTACTCTCTGATGATTCCTACTACGTATGAGATCCCTTAGAAGTCAGATCTTATAAACACACACAAACCAATTCATTTGAATCATTTTTGCAAACTATATATATATTTGAATTAAAATTAATAGTATAAATCTGGATTAATAGTCCTGACCTATATGTAAAACTGGTTACCACACAATTAAATGAAAGCCCTACTGGACAGACATTTGGAGTCAAGATTCAATCATGCTTTTTTATAAATACATATTACTCTGAATGGGCTCAGTAATTCAGTTTCACTAATTTACATTCACAACTTTATTTTAAAATGTATCACTGGTAGTATTTGGGATTTAAAGAGTTTTGCACACAAAACTGACCTGTTTCCCTGTTTTATTTTTCTAGTAGTACAGAGGGGCCAGATATATGAAGAATTACTTTAAAGATATCAAATTCCATTATACTTTTTGAGCATTTTAGTAAATTGTAAAGCTCTCTAATTATTTTACTCCAAATAGGTAGATTTCTCAATTTGTTCCAAACATTGTATGTTAACTTGTCTTTGAATGCAAAAAAGATAGTAGGAAAAAAAAATCTCTTTTACATTTCATTCATGTTTATATAACAGTGACCACCTGAAGGATGGCCACCAGGATAGTAAATCAGAGTGTTACAGGGAACACTCTAAAACTGTGTGTAAATTCCACTGTAATCTTGGTTTTAAAAATATTTACACTAAAATATTAATATTTCTTCCAGTTACCTTCAAATCAATGTCAGAAACTCTTAAAGGAGCAGACTTGTGGAGACTGGGCTGACATACCTGGAGATTTAAAATTCAGTTAAGAAAAACCAAGACTTCAACAGTGATAGATTATTATTTGGTCATTAGTTTGGTCTAAATGAAGAATATTATTGAGAGAGAGAGATTTAGTTCTACCTTGGAGCTCTCTGACTATATGAAAAGCAGGATCCAGTGTTAGCAGCAAAGACCCTTCAAGACAACTGGGCAGAGGACAAGAACTTGTAAGAAACTCCAATCTGTCACTGAAATGGACATCCTTTTCCTTTAAGTCATATTCACAGTTCCCACCTAACTCCAATTCAATTTCCATACAAGTAATAGAATACCAAGTAACACCCGCTTTCAACATTGGGTTGATCCTTCATTGTAAAACAAAACAAAATATGCTGCCCTTCCCTCCCCAAATAATGTTACTTTTTGTCAAGAGATTCCCTGACCACAATAACCACCCATTCCCCCCTTTTTTTTAATTTGCCAAACTTCCTAGTTCCTTTTCAGTAGTACTTCAGCACTGAGGCTTGAGACTTCTGGAAGTGGTGTTTCCTATTGTGTGATGTTAATATGATGCCAAATAGTCACTAAGTCTCAATGAACTAGAAGTTTGTAAAGTACTGCAGCAACAAAAATAGCAACTAGGGGGGGGGGGGAAGGAGGACCTGCGCATGTGACAAAAATTTACAGTGGTGATGAGGATCAGTCAGCAGCTGGTAAAGTCATTGGCTCAGTGACTCCTGGTTCACTATGGCAACTAAAGATTTAAATAATTGGCTATTCTACTTGTAAACAGGAAATCCCATAAGCCAAAGGGGATAAACAAATTATGTTGAAGTAGTGTGACGAGAATTTCAATACATGGCAGTTTTGCAAATATGGCATCATTCAAATACCTCTGGCATTCAATGTATATTGGCTGTGTATCTTTGTTATTGTATAAAGCAGAAGAACTGTCTGGGGTCTTGGGGATTCTAGAGCTTTGCTAGGATGATATATCACAGTTTAAGCAACAAAACGTCAGGATATACAGGCTTCATATCCTCACTCGGACATCAGACATATTCATCAAATGACCTTTCCAAGGCCCCTCTCACCCTCTGGACTTCCCCTTTGAAGGTTCACAGGTTTGTTAATGCAATTCCCACACAACTTGTCATCTCCTTAACCACTTCCACTTCACTGTGACACAAGAAGGCACAACTGAATGGACAAAAATCACTGACAAATCTACAAAGCATTCAGAAAAGGAACTAAGTTGTTTCTACCACCTGAAAAAGTCAATGCAATCCTTTAGTGTTTATGGATTTCTTTTAGTTACTCCAAATGAGGCTGAGAAGTCAAATAAATTTAATAAAGAAAATACACTGGTGAGGGGATGCAGGGTGTTCCATAATAACTTACTCAGCAAATGCTGCTTGCTGTGAGTGGTTCATACGAATTTGGGATAAAGAGGAAGGCTTAGATCTTTTCACAAACTTCCACTTTGCTGCATTTTATTTTTTGCAGTGTTCAGAAAATACCCCCTATGTAGCCAATTTCTTTGCACCACATGCATGATGTGTGTGTATAGGAGTGCGTGTATAAACACACACACACACATGCATTCATATGTTTAATACCAATTCCCCTTTCCAAAAATTCCCCGAAAGTTTAAAAACCAAAACAAAACCCGGCAGCCAAATACTATGACATCCCAATCAGTAAACACAAAACAGAACGTTTTACAAAAATGACTAAAATATACCATGTGCACTCAGCTCCTCACTGCAGTACCCAAGTGAGGAGGCTGCTGTGATGATGTCTGTAGGCAGTTTCTTTTGGCAGACAGCTCCAGCGGAATTGCCACTCTCGATTATTAAGTTATGTGTAAGACATATGTGACCCATTGGATATTTGTGAAGTGACACTCGTGCTTCTGCTCATGCCCTGCTCCGTCCGTCCCCCAGAAGCTGTCCGCCTCAGAGCCTGGGGGCTATTGCGGACTCCCATACTGCTACCTCGAGGTACCCCTTGCATTGGCCCCGAGGGGTGACCCCATGGCTGGGGTCCACCTTGCATTGGATGCCCCCAAGCTTGTGGTGGGCCACCCATGGGATGACCCCAATGAGGTCCTGGACCCCCAGTAGGATTGTGAGACCAACCAGAAGCTCCTGGGTAGCTGTGGCTGAATGCCTCAGGGGAGAGATTAGAAAGAACCATGTTACTAAAACCTAGTCTCATGCTTTCAGAGTCAAAAGCTTCAATTTCTCTGGCTTGACGCTCCAGCAGGCTTCGTATTCTTTCTGTGCGTTCATTCTGTAAAGCCAACATCTCTTCTTCAATCTGTTGAGGGTTAGAGAAGACAAGCAAAAGAATTATTTAAAAAATTATTAACTGAGGAAGCAATAATTACTCAGCTTTCAAGTGGCTACTGTATGGATATACACTTAAAAAATAAAAAGGCAAGGGAATAATTTTAAAGATTATTAAAAATAATTTCTACTGAAATAATAAATAAAGGCAACTATCATTAGTGGTTACTAAATCTATTAGGCAAAAAGTTGGTGGAAAATGAAAACAAGTGAGGGGATAACCAGCCGTACTGGATAGCAGACACATACTAATAGACACTAATAAAAGAAATATTGGTGTAGGAATAAACAGCTGAAATGGAAACAGAATGCAGACTCCAGTTTGTAGGTCTTTAATGCAGGACAAAGCAGTTTCTAATCCAATAAAAAAAAGATGGCTTTTTAAACACAGCACAACTAGCCAACTATCTGGAAGGAAATAAAAAAAATGGAACTTCATCTATACACAAAAATATACTCCAGGGGCCAGCACTGTGGCGTAGTGGGTAAAGCCGCCGCCTGCAGTGCCAGCATCCCATGTGGGTGCCAGTTTGAGACCCGGCTGCTCCACTTGCGATCCAGCTCTCTGCTATGGTGTGGGAAAGCAGTGGAGGATGGCCCAAGTGCTTAGGCCCCTGTTCCCATGTGGGAGACGTGGAAGAAGCTCCTGGCTCCTGATCGGTGCAGCTCTGGCTGTTGTGGCCAATTGGGGAGTGAACCAGTGAATGGAAGAACTCTTTCTCTCTCTCTGCCTCTCCTTCTCTCTGTGTGTATCTCTGACTTTCAAGTAAAATAAATATATTTATACTCCAAAGTCTAAAGTGAAAAGCAAGAAAGAAAATATTGCAGCAATTTTCTAAAAGCTGAAGAACTTTTTTAAATAAAAAATCTCATGTACATTTTTAATCAAAAATATTAGAAATAGAAAAGGAGGATATCTTTATTTGAACACCTGAAAATTTTAGAATTGTAGAAAACACTATTTGAATAATTGTCTCTAAAAAGCTAAACTTCCATGTCAAAATGCCCATTGTGATGTTTCTAGATGGCTACTGCTCTAAAAATCAGAAAAAAAAAAAGCTTCAATTAGTTTTCATGTTAGAAGTAGCAAGTACTATGATTACTCATCACTAAGGCTCACCTCCTGTCTTTCAATGTGTATAATCACTATTACAGACATATTTACATGGTACTTTGCACTGGACTCCTGCTCTATATAGAAGAAAAAGGGAAACTAAAAGTACCTAAGTATTAAACACATGCTATAAACCCATTTATAAACATACTAACTTTTAAAGGAAAATTTAAAGCATAATTCAGTTACTCTAATTCTCCTCCAATCAAGAAATGAAGATCTGGGGCTGGTGTGGAACAGTGAGCTAACCTGCCACCTGCAATGCTGGCACCCTATATCAGAGTGCTGATTCAAGTCCTGGCTTCTCCAGTTCTGATTCAGCTTCTCTTAATGCACCTAGCAAAGCAGCAGATCATGGCCCAAGAACTTGGGCCTCGGCCACTCACATGAACTTCCTAGCTCCTGGATTTGGCCTGACCCACCCCTGATCACCACTGCCATTTGGGGAGTGAACCAGCCAGTAGAAGATGTCTATCTCTCCCTCTGTCACCCTCCCTTTGAACAAATAAATATATATATTTTTTTAAAAAGGATAATTGAGAAGTACCTCAGGACCACCTGATGGTGTTTTAAGAAAGTACCATTCATTGTCCTGAGAAACCCCTTAGGTTAGATGAAACTTTAATTACATTAGCACAGTGTTTACTGGTTTACCAAAAAATAAATAAGTGAAAAATACTGACATTGCTGTTTGTGGGTAAGTATCTCTTCATTTTCATCTACTTCTGATCTTTTTGACTTCTAAAGCATTTCTTCTGAATGACACCGTCCTGTTGTACACGTCTTTGCTCGAGACTGAGTGCTGTAGGTCTCAGATCTATCTGAGGAATGGGCTCCATGACGATATCGAGAATGTGGCCTTTCTTCTGCATCTTGGATACCCCACCCCTTCTACTATCACCAGTTTCTTGATTTCCCTACTGAGTATAAAAATTGCTTCCATCTCCTGCAGAAGAAAATCACTTGAATTTTTATTCTTTGGAAATACAGTCATTTTATTTGGGAGTGGCTGACCAATCGAAAGTCTTCTGTCAAATAAACTACCACTCGTACTGGTCCTGGGAGAAGCTGTAACTGCAGTAGAAATCGTAACATGTCCACTATCAATGCAGTCTTCTACAGTTCCTAAATCTTTATTTTTTGTTGAAGAATTTCTAGACATAAAAGGATGGTCCATTACTAAAGACAGACTTGAACAATCCACTGCATTTCTACGAAGAAATTGGTGAATAAGGTCCTTGGCCTCTCGTGACAAAAAAGCTGGCATTTCATAATCTGCCAATACTACTTTATTTAAAGTATTCTTGATTGTGTCAGTGTCAAAAGGTGGTCTCCTAATAAGTAATGTATAAAACATACAACCCAAGGATTAAACATCAGATTCAAATCCATGTGCACTTTCAAGTTGCAATTTCTGGTGAAATGTAATTAGGAGTTCCACATAAAGTACAGTGCTTTTCTTTTTTTTTTTTTTTTTTTTTTTTTAGTACAGTGCTTTTCATGCGGCATTTTCAATTGTGTTGTCAACCCAAACCAGCAATCTTGATGTTCATATTACGTGTGAGGTCCAGGTGTAATATACCATGAGAATGAAGATACAACAGTCCTGTGATGATCTGGTACATGAAGTGTTGAGCTTCATTATCTGAGAAGGGTTTCATTCTGTTTTTTAGATACCTCTTCATTTCTCCATTTTGACACATTTCTAATACCAGGTATACAGTTGTTATCTTCAAAATAATTATAAAGCTCCAAAATAGAAGGATGTTTCAATTGGCAATGTATTTTCACATTAGCAGAAAGCCAGGATCAAAACTACTTTAATGTGTGAAGAAATACCTACCTTTGGCTAATATTAGTATCTATCTCTATGCTTCTTAAATAAGCCTTAAAAATCCCCAAACAGGGAACACTGCTGTGGTTCAGTAGGCTAAAGCCTCCGCCTGCAGCACTGGCATCCATATGAATGCTGGTTCATGCCCTGGCTGATCTTCTTCTGATCCAGTTCTCTGTTTCTGGCTTGAGAAACCAGTGGAAGATGGCCCAGTGCTTGGGCCCCTGCACCCACATGGGAGACCTGGAAGAAACTCCTGGCTCTTGGCTCCTGATTGGCTCAGCCCTGGACGTTGCAGCCATTTGGGGAGTGAACTAGTAGATAGAAGACCTTTCTCTCTCTTTCTCCCTCTCTTTGTAATTCTACCTCTCAAATAACTGAATAAAATCTTAAAAAAAAAAAAACCCAAAACATTTATTTTGGTGCAAAAATAAATTAAAAATCACACATAACTTTCTCATAATATATATTCTCCATGACCTTTTTTTTTTTTTTTTGAAACAGCACATCAAAACTTCCTTTTAGGGGCTGGCATGGTGGCATAGTGGGTAAAGCTGCCGCCTGCAGTGCCAGCATCCCATACATCCCAGCATCCTGGCTGCTCCACTTCCGATCCAGCTCTCTGCTATGGCCTGGAAAAGCAATGGAGGATGGCCCAAGTCCTTGGGCCCTGTACCCACATGGGAGACCTGGAAGAAGCTCTTGGCTCTTGGCTCCTGGCTTCAGATCGGCGCAGCTCTGGCTGTTGCAGCCATCTGGGGAGTGAAGCAGCGGATGGAAGACCTCTCTCTCTCTGCTTCTCCTTCTCTGAGTAACTCTTTCAAGTAAAATAAAAACAAAATCTTTTTTTTAAAAACTTCCTTTTATTGCAATTCAAACATCTGAAAATCAGAACATCTAATTATCTGTCCTAATTATTATGTTCTAGACAAAACATCCAATTTTTTTTTTTTTAAATGCAGACAGAGTGGACAGTGAGAGAGACAGAGAGAAAGGTCTTCCTTTGCCGTTGGTTCACCCTCCAATGGCCTCCGTGGTCGGTGCGTTGCGGCCGGCGCACCGCGCTGATCCGAAGGCAGGAGCCAGGTGCTTATCCTGGTCTCCCATGCGGGTGCAGGGCCCAAGCACTTGGGCCATCATCCACTGCACTCCCTGGCCACAGCAGAGAGCTGGCCTGGAAGAGGGGCAACTGGGACAGAATCCGGTGTGCCAGCGCCACTAGGCAGAGGATTAGCCTATTGAGCCGGGGTGCCGGCCCCAATATTTTCTTTACATTCCTTTCCCACAAGAATTCTGCACAATTCTTGGTGCTGGGTTTCATGCCACTACCTTTAGTCTTCTAAACCACATGGGAATACTTGAAACTTATTGGTGCTTCTCTGGGTCAAACCAGAAAGACAAAAAAACTAAATGACATTGGAAGTCATTCAAATACATTCAAACTACAGATCCCATATAAATCACTGGTACCAAGGTAGGAAGAAAAAGACAATTACAACTTATAGGCTATCAAAAATTATTGCTATACAAGTCTATCTTAGCATAGAATAGTGTTCTACTGTGTAAAATTACTAGCAAAAACAGTACAATAGAGATTATGCTTAAAACGACTTTTTGTCATAATCCATTGCTATCCTAGCATTCTCTGATGGATCCCATCCATGAGATAGGCAGTAACTGCAGCAACATCTGAACGGCTCACTTCTTCATTCACTATGAACTCAATTAGGAACAGCCTCTCTGCGTTCTTTTTTAAACTGTGAATATCTGTACATTAAGAGGTATCTCAGCTTGGCCAGTCGCTCTCTCTGCTCAGATAACAACGTCCCTATACCACTCCTCCTTTTGGGCCTCTGGAATATCATCTTGACTAGCTCTGTCAGACTGTTGAAGTGGATCTTCTGGTTGCAGGTGAAGAGAATTTGACAGAAGGGTTGAGCATCAACTTACTAACATCCTTTGTTAACATTTCTGAATCCTCAGAATTTTCTCCCACAGAAAGCCAAAAAGATTCTGCAGACCA